GAGGATGCACCAGAGTAGTGGGAGCAGAATAGGCAGATGTACTGGAATACACTGCTGAGGTGAGCAGCGGGTGAGACAGGAGAGGTCTGCTGCGCTATGTGGGTCAGCTCCCTGGCTGAGAATCTAACTTGTGCTGCAGTGACTGGGACAGGTTGATAGTGCTGTCTTTAACCGCAGCACCACCAGGGAGGCCCTAAACATCTTATATTTTCATAAGTAAATGCGTGGTGTGAATTTGGGAAATGTAAACTACTGACCGGAGTACTAAATGTAAAATGAGTCTTATCTAGCCTAACCTTTTTTGTGACTCTGAATATATGCAACTTTAAAGAAATACATACTATGTACTACAATTTTCTATTAATGGTACCTACTTCTGATGAGTTTCTTAATACCTGTGGCTGTGTGGAGAAAAAGATACAATTCTGAAATTGTTCAGTATATTTATTTTAAGTTTGTGATTGGGTTATTTGAATAGATAATGCTATTCAACTTTTGCATCCATGTTTATGAGAAAGTACATCAAAATAGTTATTTGGGGTCAGAGAATACTAAGGTGATGGAGGAGGAGAAATGTGTAGATACAGGTTAAAGGGTACAAACTTTTAGTTATAAGAATAGTAAATTCTGAGAATCTAACTACAGCATAGTGACTGTAGTTACTACTGTGTTGTGTACTTGAAAGTTGCTGAGTAGAACTTAAGCATTCTCATCACATACACAGGAAAGAGTTAACCATGTGAAGTGATAGATGTGTTAATTATCTTAATCTTGGAAATCATTCTGTCATGCTTAATGTATATTAAGACATCACATTGTGCACTTTAAATATAGGCATGTTAATTAGCTCTCAAAGTTAAATAAAGTAGCTTTTGTACAGTTATGTATGTCTATCCATAGAAACAGTAAGTGGCATAGGCTTTTATTATGAATATTTAAACAAAATACCTTCAGATTTACATTCCTGAATTTCATGTTTATTTTCCAAGGCATAACATAATGTCTTGGGATCATCCCTTGCCTAAGTGAAAACCGTGGCAAATGAACATCAGTATACCTGAAAATTAGAAAAGCAAGGAGAAAGGATATTTTGTGAGTTAAATACAATTGTTTTAGCGTCATTTCTAGGGAAAGGAGGCAGTTGGGTTCATGATATTTATCTCATCACAGCTGCAGGATAGAGAACTGTACCTTGTTTGAGTCTCTTTTAATATATGATCAATCCGTCAAATACTCAAGTACGGGGAAGGGGAGAGGTGAGAAGAAAATGGGGAAGTAGTGCAGTGACTATGTTGCTGGACTGTGGATGCTATGGTAACAGTACCTAACAGGGGTGGGAGGGGGATCCTATACATCTAAAATACAAACAACAATGTAAACCAATGTTACCTGAATAAAATAAACAGATAAATAAAATACTATAGAATCACCAAAAACACCAATACCATAAACTGGGTATCTCTACTTCTGACTGAATGCTGTCATTTACAATTTACCCAGGATGTTTATTTTAACCTGATTTTTTTTTTTAAGATTTACTTATGCATACAATAACTGGGTTACAGGCCAGAGGTGCAGGGCATGAGAGGATTCACCAGAGACAGAGTGAGGAACAGAACAGGCAGACTGACTGAAATACACTGCTGTGGGGAGCGGTGGGCGAGACAGGAGAGGTATGCTACGACCATATGTGGATTAGCTCCCTCACAGGGGATCGAACTCAGGCAGTTGGGGTAATAATACTGAGACTGAACCGCTAGGCCACCAGGGAGGTCCACCATTTTAAACTGATTTTAAGTGAGAAATGGGCACACTATGATTTGCCTCTCGGGCTTATCTATTGCATAAAGGAATCTCCAACCTGTCACAGAAAACAGTTAACTAATTTAGCTTCTGGATTTAGTACATGTTCTATGCTCAGGTCAGTCTTACTTTCCCAGCAAACACACTGATTCCTCTGAAGATAAGTCCTCTATATTCATACCAAGGAAAGACCCAAATTATTGTCCTCGTTTGAGTAGTCCCATATTGCAAACAAATCCCAAACCTAAAACCCTGTGTCCTTACTTATTAACAGGCTTATTTGAACTTTCTTCAGGACAATTGCTGGCAATTCTTGGTAAGGTAGGACAAATATCTTTCTCTGGAGCCATGACTGGCAGTAATAGCAGAATTCTTGCCTAGAACTTCACTAACTCACTAATCTATTTATGATGACACTGATGCCTCTGATGTAACAATACAACTAGTCATAGCAATCCATAGTAGTTATAGTAGCAGTTGATTAAGTACAGGCTTTAGAGTCATTTTCAATATTTTAATGCCCTTTTTTGAGTAAAACATTCTTTTTTTTTATTAATTGAGGCAACATTGGTTTACAACTCTGTGTATTCAGAGGTGTAGACTTGCACCGCTTCAGATGAGTGCCACCACCCAGACACCCATATTCTCCACCATAGTCCTTTGAACCCCTTCTCCCTTTTGCTCTCCACCCTCCTCCTTCCCTTCTGGTGGCCTTAATTCTACATAGTTCTAGGATTTTGTTTTGTCTGACTCTTTGTTTTCTTTCTCTATATTTCACATATGGGTGAAACCATCAATATTTGTCTTTCTCCTAACTTATTCCACTTAGTATAATTCCCTCCAGTTTCATCCATGTTGCTGCAAATGGCAGGAGTTTATCATTCTTATAGCTCAGTAGTATTCCATCACGTATATATACATCTTAATCCACTCATCTGTTGTTGGGCACTTAGGTTGTTTTCATAATTTGGCTATTGTGAAGTGTTGCAATGAACAAAGAAATGCATGTATCCCTTGAAATTATTTTTGCAAGGAATACTATGTACTGAGGATTAATAAAAAATTAAGGATGCTTGCAGACATCACAAATTTGCCATATACTGAAAAATGTACTGATTTATTCACAAATAATCTCTTCATATTGTCTGCCTTTATATATTACACATGGTTGTGTCCCATTTGTTTCACCACCTATTACTTAGACATATTGAGTGCAGTCAAATCCAGATCAAATTCATTTTATCTAAGATTTTTTATTATAGAATATTTTAGATTATGAAAACTCATTTGAATAAAGGTTACAAGTGAGAATGAGCACTTTAAATTGCTGTGACAGAGATGTAGGGTTATTTGGGTCAATCCTAGTAACCATTAAATAGTGAAGTTAGGCTGAACATGAAGAATTACAGATATACTGGTTATCTGGTAGTATTAACTGACATTTCTGGCAATACTTTGATAGAACTAGACTTGGAGAGCCAGAAAGATTTAGAGAATAATTTAATAAAGATAAAACTTTAAAGAACCTTAAAATTAAAGCATCTATGTAACATTAGGTATCTATAAACATCATATAATATTAGGTATTTATATAACAGGATACAATACAAGCTATAATTTTGTGTGGTTTCCAAATATTAAGGAAATAACTATTGAGGAAAATGTACCAGAGAGGTAGGGAGAAGGGGCAAAACATTGTAGTGTCATAAACTAAGGTTCTTCAAAAAACCATTAGTTTTTCCTAGAAAAATTAGCAGTACTTTTATGTATTTATGGCCTTAAATTTCTGAATGTTTTACAATGTATTGTGTTTAAAATCATTCACAAATAACCTCAAGGACAATATCCAGTTAACTCTTTAAAATGTTTTTCTTATTAGATCCATTCACAGAATCTGGTTTCCTTAACACAACCACTATGGGGGCCTAATGTTCAGGTTTTCCTAACAAATTACTTTGATACTATCATATTTAGCAACTTTTTAACTTGCTTTTGACCCCTGCTCTATAGAAAATATAATTTTCAATTAAAATTCTCTGGATTTTTACTTTTATCTCCCGTTTTCTCTGGGGCCTTGGGGTCCCTAGGTATTTTTCATTTTTCCCTGCACATCAACATTTATCTCTGTTTTTACTGCTATGTATCATTAGTTTGGTCCAAGAGATGTTAATCAAGACCTGTTCTTGGATAATGAAAGCAATAAAGGAGACATAGGAGCTATTCTTGGCAGAAAAAATTTCATTTATGTCAATTTCATGAAAAAAATCTGAGATTAAAAAATAAGGCCACTTGAAGCTTATTAAGGATTGCCACATATCTAATTTTATTTTTATATTTTTTAGGAAAAAAAAAAACAACAAAACACCAGCCAACCAATGACCATTTTCATTTTCCTCTTTTCACACTTAGATCCTTACATCCAACTATAGTGACTATGTATTTCAGGAATTACCAAGACTTCAAGTACATTGTCTGCAAAGAATAGTTTAATTGCTTTCTACACATTTTTACTTATTTTTGCAAACTATGGTCAACTTTTGGAACATCTTAGTTACCTTTACTTCCTTCGATAAATGAATAATTTCAAACTTCAAGTAGATATGACATTTTTAATACCCTAATGTCCTTAACATAAGGTAAAACATTCTTAGGTTACCACTGAGAGTATTTAAAATGTCCATGGTAATTACACAGCTATATATAACTTTCAGAATTTAGTATATGGCGAAGTTAATTAATAAGAAGTCAAACACAAAGGAGAAGAACCAGTATTTCTTTGAAAAGCATCTGATATTGATTTACTTCTGGACAGTGGTACGAGCCATCAGTATACACCTACTTTCAGTTTGTATCCTTAAAATTGCCTAAAAGTTTTTAACATAGAAAAACCTAAATGTGAATGCATTCATAATAATGTAACAATGTCTCATTTGTATCCTTTAATGGAATGTTTTAAAACCAATCATAATTCACAGCAGATAAATCAGAAAAACTTTTGAATACTATGTTATAATGACCTAGACAAAACTGATTATCAACTAGTAATCACTAGCACATGCAACAGACTAAAAACTGAAATCCTCTGCATATATATTTTTAAGTATTTTGCCAGACATGAGAAAATTTTTTAATGTTTCTATCAATCACATTCACTTCCCATTATATTCATTTTTATTTAAAACAAGAATAGATTTCTCTCCAGATTTTCACGTTTAACAGTGCAAAGTACAACAAAGAAATCTCAGTAGAAATGGTTTATTATAATCTTATTCTAGAAAGGCTTATTCCTCAAAATGACTAGAAGATGTCCAAGTCATGAGAATGATCAACTTCAATGGCTTCCTCTGCATCTAACTTTGTTTCTCCATGTCCTTCCTGTGATTCATCAAGAGAGGCCAGGGCCTCATTTGTGTCACTTGCAAAAGTTTCTCGTGATGTATCATCATCTTCTTGAAAATTTAGACTTTTAATAGCTTGCTTCATCTTTTTCCCAGTACTTGTGTTCTCCTCTTCCTAGCAGCTTTTTTATTTTCATATTCTTTTTGATTTTCAATGTAAAAAATGTCCTATAACAAAAGAATAACTTTAGTAAAGTTGTTTAGTAAAGAACTACCATTTATGAAGTTTATTACAAACAAACCCTTTATAATTATCATCTCCATTTCTCACAAAAAAGAAATATTATTAGAGTCATAAATAGATACAGAGTCCAAGATAAATAGATACAAGATAAATAGATACAAGTCCCCACTGTGAACAGAGGATGAAATAATTAAAACTCAACCTAGTGTTAGGTCTAGGGCCTATGCTTATTCTACCATTTATCACTCCTATATTTTCTAAATGGACACAGACAGTAGAAAAATCATGCTGTTTTGGGTTCATGTGAAAATAGTGATCTTTGTCAAAAGTTTTTATCACAAGGCATAAAAACATAGCACTAGGATACCTTTCAGGATGTCAGAAAAGAGATTTTATAGCATGAAAATTTGAGATTTCCTAGTACAGGGTCTCTCAACCTTGGCAATAATGAAGTTTAGGGCAAGATCAGTGATTCAGTCTGCTGTGTGTATTCTACGATGTTTAGCTGCCCTCTACCTAGTAGTATGTTTACCCAACCCAAATTGTGACCACCAAACATATCCCTTAACATTGTTAGATGTCTTCTGAAGAGCAAAATCACCAGTTAATGAGAAGTATTTACATAGAAAATACATACCAATTAAAATATTACACAGAAAAACATAAAGTGACATCTGGGGACCCTTGACACAGAGTACAAAACAAATAAAAGGAAAGGATCTAAGGAGGCGGCCCAAAGGACTGCTAAGACAGAGAAGGTTCATGAGTTTTAACAGAAGCTAGTATAGGAACACACTTCAGACACTCTACTGTATCCCAGGAAGGGACTCTCCAAAGCTGTAGCAAAGCTAGTCACTACTGTAGTCTTAAGTACACAAACTGCAAATCCCTTCTTATTTATAAAAAGAACTATGAAGGGTGGTAAGATAAAGGGAACCTCTCCTAAAACTTATGCTAAATATTTACAAGGAGGACACAAAGCTAACAAAGGAGTAAGGAGCCCTGGGATTAAGAAAAGCTTCAGAATATGAGTGCATTGATGAAAAGTAGGAATAAAAGTAATTGCTAATGGAAGAGGATGCATATATGAAAAAAAAAAAAAAAAAAAAGGCAGGACAGAAAAGATGAATTCAAAGGGAAGTACCAGCTACCATTTACTTAATGAGCACTCTTGCGTACCAGGCATTATGCAAACAAAGACATATTAATTCATTTCATTCTCACACAAAACCTATAAAGTAGGTACATTATCACTGTTTTCAGATGAGGAGAGGGAGGCATAACATTACAGAGCTATAACATGTGAAGGTATAAGGTCTTAATGAATATGTTTTCTCCAAATCCATATTCTCTTTTTTTTAAAGATTTATTTATTTATGCATACAAGAGTTGGGGCTCAGGCCAGAGATACAGGGGGTAAGGGGATTCACCAGAGACAGAACAGGGAGCAAAACAGGCAGATCCACTGAAATATACTGCTGAGGGAAGCATCGGGAGAGACAGGAGAGTGCTGCCCCATGTGGGTCACCTCCCTGGCCAGGGATCAAACTCATGCTGCAGTGGCTGTTGATTGCTTCATAGTGCTGAGACTTGTGCCACCAGGGAGGCCTAATAACTAATAATTTTTTAAGAGTTTACTTACCACTTTCAAATGGACAGATTAAAAGGTAGCTGTACGTATAAGTATGTAGATTTTATGTGGCAGTATAAACATTGATAAAAACAATGTTAGGTAGTACAATGCTTGGCAATATTGAGTAAAGTTTGTGAAATTCCTTCTTCCCCTCCTAATATGGCAAGTTTTATTAAAAAGGAACTTTATTTCCATGATTATGAACAGGACAAATTGGGGAATGGTCCAAAGAATATTGTTGCCACATGTTAATATAAACGCAGACAAAAAAATAAGCTAAGAGCAACTTGCTTTTCTTCCCTACATATCTATCGGGTTGTCAGTAAAGTCATGACTTTTTGTTTTTTTTCTTTGAAAAACATAGAAAAAATGTGCCATGACTTTTCCAACAACCCAAAATATGTAATTAAGCCTATAAGAATCTGACTATATACTATTTGCAGATCATTACTGCTAAACATTTAAAAAAGATTAACAATTTAACTTTTAACTATTCTAAGTCACTTTTCTTCACAAACTTTGTATTTTCTAACACAAGACTTAAATAGAAGGGGGAGGGCCTCCCCTGGTGGCGCAGCGGTTGAGCGCTGGGCTGCGAAGCTGCCCGCAGCCTCTGCAGTGCCAGTTTGCACAGGTGAGGGTCCCACATGGCGCGCAGACCTCTCCTGCCGCGCCGCTGCTCTCCTCAGCAGTGTATTTCGTTCCTTCTGCCTGTTCTGCTCCCCGCTCTGGCTCTGGTGAATCCTTTCACCCTCCCACACTTCTGACTGAACCCAGTGCTTGTATAAATAAATAAATAAATCTTTGGGGAAAAAAATTAAAAAAAAAAAAAAAAACAAGGGGGAAACAAATCCTTAGTTCATTCCTAGTTTCCAAGTCCTGTAGATTAATCGTTAGCAACAGAGCAATTAAATGATTATAACACTATTATCTAAATAGTATATGGAATCTACCTAAAATAGTATTCTATTTGCTTTTTGGTTTTTTTTTTCCCTTTAATGACAAAGGTACTTAATCCATAGTAACGCAGAAAATTTGGGAAAACACAAATGGCAAAAGACCATTACCCAGATTCTCTTATTTTTTCATCATTTCATACTATTTCTCTAAAAAGGGAAAAGATATTATAATCACGCATAGCTCCCCTTTTTATTTATTTATTTATTAAAAGATTTATTTATTTATGCATACAAGTGCAGGCATACAGGCCAGAGGTATGGGGGTCACCAGAGACAGAGTGGGGAACAGAACAGGTAGATTGATAAAAGTACACTGCTAAGGGGAGCAGAGGGCAAGTCAGGAGAGGTCTGCTGCACCATGTAGGTTGCTCCTGCCTGGCCAGGGATCAAACCTGCAATGCAGAAGCTGCGGCCAGCTTCTCAGGCTGCGTCTTAGCCCGTTGTGCCACCAGGGAGGCCCCTATACCTCCCATTTTTAAAGTAAAGAAAATATACAGCTCAAATATAACAGTTGTTTTGCTTGTGTATCGTATCTTTCTTAAGTAAGAAACTAGTTCTCGGGGCTTCCCTGGTGGAGCAGGGGTTAAGTCTCAGTGCCACCACCCCTATAGCCTGAATATGATCCCTGGCCATGCCAGGGAGCTAACCTACATGGCACAGCAGACCTCTCCTGTCTCACCCACTGTTCCCCTTAGCAGTATACTGCAGTAGATCCACCTGTTCTGTTCCCCACTGTGTCTCTGGTGAATCCTCTTACCCTCCACACCTCTGGCCTATACCCCAGTTCTTGTGTGCATAAATAAATCTTAAAAAAAAAAAATTCCAGAAAAACAAAAATAATTAAGAAAACTGAAGTACCATGCTTCTAGTTTATAAGAAATAATGCAAATAGAGGAATGACTGAAACAAATTCATGAGTGGACAACCACCAGAATGCAGTAAATTCTATTATACAGCTATCTTGGACTCTTCAAAAGGTCCAAATTGTGAAGGAAAATATGAGATTAAATAAAGATCAAAAGAGATATACCAATGAAATGTGGCAGTCTAGATAGAACACTGGTTTGGGAAAGGAAAAAAGTTATAAATGACATACTTAGGATAATGCAGAAAACTGGAATAAGGATGATACTATTGAAATTATTTTTTATTTTTCTTAAGATGTTACAGTGAGTCCCAAGGCTATGTGAGACATTGTCCTTATTATTGGGAGATGGTAACTAAAATCATTATAATTGAGTGTCATCATGTTTGCCACTTATCTCCAAATTGCACAGAAAAAAAATTATATAGGTCAAGTATGAGTGTCAAAATATTAACCCTTGAATCTAGGTAGAAAATATATATACATATTTATCTAATTAATCTTTCACCCTTTCTGTATGCTTGAAATTCATCATTAATAAGAAGTTGTAGGAAGGTAGAAAAAATAATTATGTGCTAGGAGACCAGGAAAAACTTCCATAAAAAAAGACTTTTTAATCTTGGCTCTGAAAAGGAAGGAAAAGAGGAATCAGTAGAAAATGAAGCTAGAGGCTGAGTGGAAGTCAAATTATAATGAATCTCAAGTAAAGGATATTATTTTACCTTAATTTGTTCCTCGCTGATACTAGGAGTATTTTTCAGGAGATTCAGAAAAACTCCACCTGGTGTTCTTCTTCGACTACCATTCTTCAAAAAAGAACAGAATAATTTTACCATGTAGGCTAAAGTAATGGCTGAAGGAGACAGTCAGGTCTACTGACCCCTCCAGTTTAACTCCAACATCTTCCTCCCTTCTACCACCCCGACATGCACTTATCTCTTCTGTAACATTTATCATCACTTTCTAACATGCTTGAATATGTATTTATTCTTAATAGAGGATCTTCCTCCCACCCTAACTATAATATAAACTTCCTGTGTCTAGATTAGAGCCTGCTATAACAATAAATAATAGTACAAGGAAAGAATAAATCAAAAGAAAGTGAGTTAGAGCTTGCATCTTCTTAACCTTCAGTGAGTTTGTGTTAGCTCAGTACAACATAAAGCTTCCTTACTATAATAGTAAAATTTTGATCCATTTATAAACTTTGTACTCAACAGTAACACAAACAGGGGTGCCAATAACATTCATGATTTTAATTTGTTTTGTCTTTCTTCAATCAGTGCTATCAAATAAGTGATTTTTTTCCTCCATTTCCATAGCATATTAATTTATTCTCTTGTGGTGTTACTAATCACATTATGAGAAGCAAATAAGAAAGTCATTCAAACTTCATCTTTACCCTATAGTACAAGCTGAATTAAACATGATCTGCAAAACTTTTTGGGATAAACTGTTCTTGCCTGTGATCTGGCTCTAGCCAAAAGAGTGTTCTTCCTGCCACCCTGAATCAGTAAAACATTTTCAATCTTTTTTCATTATTGCTTCCCCAACCCCAGGAGTCTTTTTAGATTTTTTTTGTGTTCATCTCCATTTCTCATGAAATTTTAATACTTACAAATATACTGTTTATCTGTACCTTTTATGTAACACAGAGGAAGATTATTTTTTGCCCTCAAAAACCTACTTTCAAGAATATATAAATTAAATGAACCAAAAGTTAACTGTTCACCAATGCTGGACAGCCATCAGCACTTTAAACATACCATTTCATTTAATACTTAAAACAAAGGATTAATCCCAATTTTACAGCGGAGCAGCCCAAGGCTTTGAGAAGTCAAGTAATTTAACCAGATCTTACACTTCATGAATAAATTTCACACCTAATGAACTGCAGACCCAGAACTCAAAACAAGGCAATTCAAACTCCAAAATCCATATGCTCAAACCCGAGTTTGCAGGTTCCTCAGACACTTTTTAAAAAAAGCTAGCCCCTACCCTTACTGGGTCTTGTAAGAGATGTGTTATTGACCACACACTAACAGGCTACAATTTATTTATGTTTTTTGTAAGGAAAGTATTAACTGCAAAAACTGACTACTGAATTTCTTAAATTCAGCCTTTATTGAAGTTTTTTAAAAGTATGGAACACACTATGAAAGTTTATGATAAATGAAAGATGCAAGAATAAGAGACTATTTCTGGAAAACAGCATAAAAAATAATACAATACAGAAAACAATGTAGCATTAGTCTTACCATTATAAAAAGGCCACCATTTTGTTCAACTTCAGCAGTTTCCATCAGAAGTTCAATTGCCTTTTTGTTCCCAATTATCCCCACTACTCGGGCTATCAGATCTTTCTTTGGTTCCTGTAACCTAATAAGGACCAAATAAAGTGATATTAACCTCTCTATTAGTTGCCTAAACTTGAAGAAATCTACCTGAAGTCTCCAGTTTAATCTCCAAATAGAATCAAAATCCTGTTCTAATCACACTTGCGTTTTTTCAAATCTTCAATATTTAACGTTAGAATTACTGAAACAGGAATATTCCCCTCTTGGGTGACTCAATTGAGAGAGTAACCTCAAATTTCCACCTCAAGTCTCATAACTTGGCTTTTTTATTTTGCCTTATTGGATTATAGCAGATTTCAAAATTAATGTGCACATACAGCAAAGGGAATACAAGCCTAAAAGCAAAAGAAGATAAAATCAATCCGACCCATTCAAAACAGATAACAAACCTATACTGTGATTTAATTATTATACATAAAAGTTAGCTCTGCAAACTCCAGAGATGTCTGGGAGCTTAGAATGGATAAGATCTTTTCCTCACAGGTACTGTACCTCAGAACAAACATACAGCTGAAATTTCTGATTGTGGTATAAGCACATTCCTCAAAATTTTATATGTGTATCTCAGTTTTTCCTCTCAACAACCTTATGAAATAAGCACAATTATTTTCATTTTACCATTGAGAGGTCAATACACAGGCGCTTAAGTAACACTTCTAACAAAGTGTGTACTCCACAGAGATGAAGGTAGATTAATACTGCAGAAGTCCTATCAGTTCCCTAACCACATCTAGGCTTCCTTTGTTTCTTCTCAAAGGCCATGCATTATTGTAGAAAGTATACTAGACTAGGAATAAAGGAATAGGGTTTAGTTCCAGGTCTGGCCTGAAATTTGTGACCTAGGGCAAGCCATACTTTAGTTCATGAAAGTCTGCAAAATTATTTTATCAGGCTTATCCAAATTTAAGAAATCCCAAATATATTCAGATAACCAAGTAAGCCCAGAGTTTGTTCCTGAAATTCAAAAATCTCAAAAAAAAGATCATCATTCATGTATTTGGAATCTATTTTACTTTTTATAAATGGAAGATGTCAGTCGAGTGCTCATTTCCCAGACAAATTTAAATGCTCACCTGTAAGAAATTTCATCAGCTACTTTCTCTTGAGAATCATCCTCTGTGATCTCATACCGACCTTTATAATTCATTTCTAGTCTGTTTCCTAGTCTGTCTTTGACAGGTCGCTTCCTTTTGAGGTGACTTTGCCCATTTTCTTCTTCCTTTGATTCTGTTTTTTTGCCACCATGCATATAATCATCTAGCTCCTTGTCTAATTCTTTTGAATGTTCTTCAGATTCTCTCTTAAGTTTCTTAGCAAGCAAATAATTGTAGGTCTCAGATTGTCTACTTTTATCAATACTGCCCTCCATTCCCAAGATTCCAAGTTCTGTGGCTACTGCATCTTGACTCTGTTCCTGCAGCACAGCACCCCATATGTTGTTAATCTTTTTTCCTCCAGCAACAGGTAGTTTCTGGATGCTTTGGTCAAACTGAAAAGGCTCTGGTTTGGGAGGAGGGTTGAAACATTTTTGCCGCTTTCGTTTCCAAAGGGAACTATCATCATCTGAATCAGAAAAACTCTCTTCACTTGAATCCACACTTTTAACAGTCCGATAATGTGATGCCGGTGCACATGCTGCTGCAGTACCTTGGAAGGGCCTCACTGTGCAGTCCCCACCTAGTGCTTTCTGCAAGTGAAGGGAAATACAATCAATTCCACAGAACACACTGACTCCACCCATCATATGCTATTAAAAGAAAACTGTAGGGATTCAACTGACCATTTTGAAGTGGAACTAATATTCAGAAACATCTATAAATCAGTCAATTTCTATTTCTCTTAAGTTTCATATGGAAAATGCCCATTTTGAAGTCACAGATTCTTACTTCTACAATAAATGCAGCACTTAGTTCTAATCTAAGGCTTCCTTCTTAAAAATTAACCACTTCATTTTCACCTTCAGGAGATTTTCAATCTCATCAACCTCCTTTATGCACTTCAGTGACTATATTACTTTAAGTAGCAATCTGTGGTATTACTTTTGAAACTGCAGTTCATGACAGTACGCTTACCAAGTCATGGGTCAATGTGCCCAACAACCTAAAAGAGACTGAAAAACAAGATATATTGCTGTCAGTTTCCTAAGACACATATGCAAAAGGCGTCCCTTTGCTTTTTACACTAAACAGCAATTAAGCATCTGTTCAGCTCTGATGTGCTAGAAATGGGGGTGCGGTCACTTAAGTTATTAAGAAAACAGTCTTCCTATTTTTAAAATAATGACACCTAACGTTTGTCGGGCACAACGATGTACTGCATGCTCCAGTCGACCCTCAGAGCCAGGGGCGTACTGGGATCCTTCCTTCTACAGGCTGGAGCGCTCGGCAGCGAGGCCAAGTAACCTGCCGCAGGTCACAGTGGTGGCGCCAGGATTCAAATGCCAGGAGGCTGGCGCCGAAGCCCCATCTAAAACCTTGCCGCCTGCCACGGCAGTCAGAACAGACTCCAATTTAGAACACCGGGACGCCAACATAAAGGCCAGCGCCCCATCAGCGCTTCACAAAGCAAGAGTCGTGGGAGTCTCGCCCATCAGGGCCCCGCGCGAGGGGCGAACTCCACGCGTCGGGCTGCGTCTCGCGTGCGCTCCCGGCGCCACTGAGCGCCGCGGGCCGTTTCGGGCAAACGCGTCCGGGCTCTACCTCTCCGGCAAAATCTGCACTTCCGGGAAGACCCGGCAGCCCCGGAACAGGGCAGCCCGCGAACTCGGGAAACGGGGGAGGCGCGCGGGCAGCGGCGAGCAGACAGCCGCCCCCCGGCTCCCAGGGGCCTCGGGCTGCGCGGGCCCCGCCCCGAGGAGAAGCCGGGGAGGGGGTTCGTCCGGCCTGCGGCCCCCTTCCGCACCCCCGGGCCGGGCCCCGCGCGCCGCCCCTCGCCCCTCCACGGAGCCCCGGCCCCGCGCGCCGCCCCACACCCTCACCAACGTCGCCCGCGCCCCCGCGGGGCCCGGCCCGGCCCGGCCCGGCCCGAGGCCCCGCCCGACCGTCGCGCTCACCGGCACCGGCAGCGGCCTGTCGCTGGGCGCCACCGCCATGTCCGAGTCCGAGTCGGAGAGCTGCCCGTCCTCCATGGCGCCGGGCTCCTGCGCCATCTTCCCGCGGCCCCGCGGCTCAGGAAAGCACTTCCGGCGGCGCGGCGGGAAGGTCCGGCCCGCGGCGGCGGCTCGGGCGCCCCCGGCCGGCGGGGGGCCCCGCCGTGCGCCTTGTGGGGTCGCTGCGGTCCGGGCCGGCCCGCGGCCCCGACGCCTCACCTGGGCGGCCCCGGGAACGTGAACCCCTGCTTCCCCGACACGCGGCGCCTTTTCTGTCCAACTTTTTCTTGAGAACCCGAAGAAGCGCACGGACAGCAGCAGCCTTCTGGGGTTCCCCCGTCGGCCCCACACACCGCACCTGGGCGCGCAGAACGGGCGTTCCCCATTTCCACTCTCCACTCCTGCGCAGTCCGCGCAGCGCGGGGCTGCTGGGGACCCTTCCGGGCGGTGCCCTCCCCGCGACAGGGCCCGAGTGCCCCCGCGGGCTGGGCTGGCGCTGTCCGCCTTCATCCCCAGGCACCCCGATCCTTATTCGCCCAAGGATTTTGCGGTTGCTGTTCTGTCTGCTTAGCCCCCAGCCTCCCCCAAGCCCCCTTAACCCATTTTGGGGAACAAATTGTACTTAAAACAGTGCTGCCTTCTCGGGCTTTCCATCATGCTAAGCGATAAGGGTCTTCTCTTATCACTTTCAAGACTCTGGTCGTAGGTGTATTTATTTTCTTTTTTGTAAGTTTCCCACTAAAATGTCTTTTATTCACTGTGGTTTCCCCTCAGTGTTCAGTACAGTGACTTCTTGCTTATACAATCAACCCTAGGAAAACGGGTTTGAGATGCCTTGGTCCACTTAGGACCTTTTTCCTAAGGGTTCAGCATTCAGGCATTCAACCAATGGGCGATGTGCAACCAAGGGGTGCGGTAAAATGTTGGTTGGTTGAATCCATGTAATAGAGGATTAAGAAATACTTATTGATTTTTTTTTTAACACAAAAGAAATCTTTTTATTTGTACCTTTTACCATTCTATAATTTGCTTGTTAAAAAAAAATAATAATAATCCATTCTGGGGCCTCCCCGGTGGCGCAGCGGTTGAGCGCTGGACTGCGAAGCTGCCCGCAGCCTCTGCAGCTCCAGTTCGATCCCCGGCCGCCGGCGAGGGTCCCACATGGCGCGCAGACCTCTCCTGCCGTGCCCGCTGCTCCCCTCAGCAGTGCTTTCAGTCTGTCTGCCTGTTCTAATCCCCGCTCTGGCTCTGGTGAATTCTCTCACCCTCCCACGCTTCTGACTGTACCCAGTGCTTGTATAAATAAATAAGTAAATAAATATTTAAAAAGAAAAAATCCAATTCTATAATTTGCTTGTTAAAAAAAAAATAATAATAGAGCCTCCCTGCCTTGTGGCGCAACTGGTTAAGCACAGCACTGTGAAGCTATCCACAGCCACTGCAGCTCGAATTAGATCCCAGCCTGCCAGGAAGGTGACCCACATGGCGCAGCAGACCTCTCCTGTCTTGCCCTCTGCTTCCCTCAGCAGTGTATTTCAGTCATTCAGCCTGTTCTGTTCCTCACTCTGTCTCTGGTGAGTCCTCTCACTCATGGTACCTCTGGCCTATATATACCCCAGATCTTGCATGCATAAATAAATATTAAAAAAAAAGAAATGATATAGCAATTTATCCTGGAACTGTTTTGTGATACTGTGATTTATAAGAAAAAAATACATATGTACCCTGGGTTCTGACACAGAGCTCCTAAAGCCCTAATAAATTCCTGTGATAAGAGCACTATGAACATCTTTTGTTTGAGTATTTGGTCTTTAACCCAGTTCCTCATTCAGGGCTTATGAAACCCTTGGGAATTTCCATCTAAGCATATGTTTTGTGTTAACAAGGCTTCTGTATGACCCCAGAATGAGGACAGGTCACAGAATGACCATCCTCAATATTAAAAGCTTGGAATTTTCAGCATCACCTCTTCCCCCATTCTGTTGAGGAAAAATAAGGGTTGAAGTGGAATTAATGATCCATCATGACTACATGATTGTTAACTGGAACTAAAGTTTTAATGATAGACAAACACTAGACAAAGAATTTACTAGATAATGAGAATTAGATATTGAACACTTGCAGTCAGACAGATTGTACTCTTTGAGAACACAAATCTGAATTTAGCCTTTATAGATAGGAACAATAAGTCACTGACATTAAAAATGTAATTATTCTTGACAGGGGCTTCTGGTTCTAAATTGTTTTGATGTCAAGATATATGGATGCCTCTACATGCAGAGGAAGGTAATGCAGGGATTTAATCTTTATTTCTAAAGAATGAACCGTAGATATACAAAAAGATCATTGTATGATATAGACTTCTGATAAACTTTCACTAAATTTAATGTTTTTTAAATTCCTCAAAATGTACAATATGTTCATTCCTTTTTATTAAATATTCCAAAATATGAATATACTGCAGTTTATTTACTGTTTTTTCATGGAGCTGTTTCCAATTTTGGGTTACTATGGAAAAAGTTACTCTGCTTCCTCCCCACCCCCCAATCCCTTATACCCCTTTAATCCTCTTCCCTCCCCCTTGACTCCTAACCTCAGAAGCCACACTTAATAGTTTGGTTTTTTTTTAAGTATTTTGGTTTGTCAACATAGGTCTTCTAATGAGAAAACATAGGTGATCCATTCTGGCTCTTACCCCTGGTTTGCCAGTTCTGGCTCCAGCTATTCTATCGATAGCTTGGGAGCCTTAGGCTTAAGGCAGTACCCACCCACCCACCCCCCTTTTTTTTAAAAGATTTAATTATTTATACAAGAACTGGGGTACAGGCCAGAGGTGCGGGAGGATGAGAGGATTCACCAGAGACAGAGTAGGGAATCGAACCCTCACTGTGAAGGCTGCAGACAGCTTCATAGCACTGTGCTCAAGCTGCACGACTGGGGAGGCCCAGTAACCACCACCTTGTATCCTTCTTTCTACAGTTCTTCAGTGGTACACCCTCTGTCCTGCAGGCCGATTCTATGTACCCTCCACTCAGGTGCAGGACCCAGTTTTTTAAAGCCCCTGATATGTGTGTGTCCTTATGTCAAGAGTATGAGAGAAGCTCCATACAGCAACTGCTCCTCCCTTTTGTGGGTTGTACTACCCTGGTGTCACTCTTAGTGTACTACCCTCGTAGTACACTCTTGGTGTACTACCCTGGTGTCTAATTGAATTGTCAATTCAATTACAGTTTTTCCTACCCCTTTCTGCTGTGCCATTGCTCCTGCAGAGGAATGCAGTAATCATTTATTTGTCATTCAGGGTTTTGTTGTCATTTGTTTTTGAGTGTGTGGAGGAGGCAAGCCCCATGTCCACTCTGCTGCCACTTTGCCCAATTCCCCCAAAGCTGCCATTTTTGTGTCTTTTCTTAAAAAGATACGTTTTATTTATTTATGCATACAAGAAGTGTGAAGTCCAGAGGTGCAGGGAGTGAGAGGATTCACCAGAGACAGAGTGGGGAACAGAACAGGCAGATTGTCAGAAATACACTGCTGAGGGGAGCAGCAGGCGAGTCAGGAGAGGTCTGCAGGGCATGTGGGTCAGCTCCCTGGCCTGGGATGGAACTCGTGCTACAGTGGCTGTGGATAGCTTCATAGTGCTGACACTTAACCCCTTGCGCCACCAGGGGGGCCATATAGAAAGAAGTACCATCTTAGAACATTTTCCACCAAAGCAGTGAAAACAAACAAATCTCCCATCAACAAAACCAGTCAACAAAGAAACAGCCATTCCAACAAAGAGGGGCGTCACCATCACTTGGGACTTGGTTAGAAATGCCAACTCTAGGGCCTCCCTGGTGGCACAAGGGTTTGAGCACCGCACCGTCTGAGGCCTCTGCAGCACGAGTTCGATCCCTGGCCGGCCAGAGAGAAACCCACATGGCGAGGCGGACCTCTCCTGTCTTGCCCGCTGCTCCCCTCAGCAGTGTGTTTCAGTCCGTCTGCCTGTTCTGTTCCCTACTCTGGCTCTGGTGAATCCTCTCACCCCCCTGCATCTCCGGCCTGCACCCCAGCTCTTGAATGCATAAATGAATAAATTAAAAAAAATGCCGACTCTCAGATCCCAGCCCAGACCCATTGATTCCGAATGTGCATCTGACAAGACAGCGGGTGATGACATTCTGAGAAGCCCTGTTCGAACCTACTGTACTTACAGTCGATACTTCGCTGAAAAGAATGTCTAGTGTGTGCCGCGATTCCTGGCGTCTTTCACCAGATGGCAGTAGCCCTCTCGACTCCTCCCTGTAGCACCCCCATAGTCCCAGGCGGGGGGTTAAGCTCTGAGCGCCTCCGGAAGACCCGGGGCTGGCTGGGCGGGGCGGGGGGCGTATCCACAGGGCGGGCCGGGCCTGCCCAATAGGCTCTCGCGGGCGGGGGGCGGGGCGCTATTTCTGCAGGGCCACCGGCCGCAGGCGCAGCGCGCGCCTCGGGCTCAGTATGTGGCGAATTCCTCTGCGGCGGGTGTCGCTCCAGCAATTTGTGCACGTTGCAAAGAGGAGCAAGCTCTCCGAACCTAGGAGGTGTCCTGCTTCCACCATGTCCTCTCTACTGATCAGTCAGCCCCAGTATGCTTGGCTAAAGGAGCTGGGGCTCCACGAGGAAAACGAAGGCGTGTATAATGGAAGCTGGGGAGGCCGGGGAGAGGTAATGCGGGGAAATCTCTGCGGCCTCACTGAACTCCCGGGGGCCGGGCGGGCGCTGCCCAACCCCAATCGCTGCCGCTGGAGGCGATTGAAATACGTGGGAAGTTTTGAATCGACACAAAAAAGCTTTCTTAGGGTGACTTAAGGGGCCTTAAAAAATGCTCTTCGATTTTAGGTCCTTGGGTGCTTTAGAGAATGGATGTCCTTTTGGAGCTGCTGATAGTTAAAACTTCCCATGAGTACTTACTGTATCTTAAGGCAGAGGCCTGCGAGCTGTGTAGAGCATTGCTGCAGGCTTGGCATTGGAAATTATCTTACCTTTGAGCTTGACTGGCTCCTCAGGTGTGCTCTGCGCTACAGGTAATGTTCTACAGTGTAGTTTTATGTTGTCTTCATTCCTGAAATGTTTTGGAGTTTGCACGCTGGGACTTGCTGCAGTCCTAGATCATGTTTTCTTTGGGCTCCGAGCTTCCTCGAGGACCGAGTTTTCAGTATTTCTCTGTTGTTCACAGCTTAATTACCATGCCTGCAGCCCCAGTTGATGATCAATAAAATCTTTTATAGAATTATGAGGGGAAGGTAATTATTAGCATGCTGGTGTTTTGAGAGCTGCATACAAAAGAAAGCATTTAGAAGAAAATGTTATATAACATTTAGCAAACCTTGTTGAATGTTATATAAGGAACCTGCTTTGTCTACAAGAAATACCTTCTTTTTGGTTATCTGTGACTGAAGGAGATGCATGTGGTTTTAATTGTTCCCCAAGTCTCCTCTCCAAGTCCCCCCCACCTTTGCTTAGTTTCGTCTGTTTTTCTTGTGGCATCTGTTCATTGGACTGATGATGGATAAAACCCTTTTCTATTCTTTTTTCTAACTGACCTTTCAACTTTGTGTAAATAACAGGCCTTTCTCACAGGTCTGGCCTTTGCTAGCTCACCTTCTGACTAGAGGTTTGGCTGGGTAAGGGAGCGAAAAGAATAGGTAAAAGTTGTCACTTTGGTCTGTTGTGCATGGAAAAAGTAAAAATAACAGGTTATGGTTTAGTTTTTTTTGTTTACATACTTAATATTAAGATGGCAAGAGTGAGTTTTGGAGAGGTTTAGGTAAAAAGTGAAAGACAAGTTCTGTATAGTGATTTATTTATAACAAGTTAATTTAAATGTGTGAGTTTGGATATTGTCTGTCCCCTTCCCCCACCCCCCCTTCATTTTTCTTTTCTCTGTTTGGTTGGTTTGTTTCAGTTTGGAAAGGATTGCATTTTCTGTATATAATGGTCTTTTTTCTGTTTTAAGGTTGTCACGACCTATTGTCCTGCTAACAATGAACCAATAGCAAGAGTTCGCCAGGTAAATGTCTTTAAAATTCAAACTGCCACTGAAAGAACAATACAAAATTACAAAGTCAAAGGTTGAGATGTTTATTTTTCATTTGATGTTTTCGAATGGGAGAGTTTCACTATTTAGGTAGGGGTATGTGCACCCTAGAAAAGGTGAACCCTAAAGAGTACAGGGAAAGGAGGGCCCATTTCAAGTAGTACTTTTGAGTCATTTGGAGATTCCAAGCTCTAAGTCTGGCTTGGAGCCTGAGGTCCTGCATTTCTAATATACCTCAGGTATTGTTCCTAGGTAAGGCCAATAAACTTTGCTTTGAGAAGCAACTTTTGAAAAAAAAAAAAAAAAAAGGAAGCACAGCTTGGTTTTGACTTACTGCATTTGTCTTACTGCGTTTTAGTGAGTTTTTGGAAGCGTAGGGTGTGGATAGCATTCTAAACCAGAAATCTTAGGGTCACCCAGAGATTTTCCTATTCTTTCCCTAAAACAATCTGTGTGTTCTTAGGAGATGATCATTTCTTTTTCCTTTTCTCTTTGTCTCTCCCTAATTCTTAATATAGGCCAGTATGGCAGACTATGAAGAAACTGTAAAGAAAGCAAGGGAAGCGTGGAAAATCTGGGCAGATGTAAGTGTGGCCTTTTATTTTCTATACCACATAAGAGGATTCCATTTCCACTGTAATTGCAGTGATAAAAAGACCTGATGAGGCAGGTCATGCCCTATTGCTGAAATGGGAGCTCCTTGAGGGCTGTGATGGTCTCCTCTGCTAATGTCCTAGGATTCCTTTTCCATTTTGGCCTTCAGTAAATGAGTAATTTTAAGTGGATTAAAACTGTATTAATGTAGCATAAACATAAATTATGAAATTGTTATTCTCTAATCAAAGTTATTCAAATTCATAATTGAGCAAAGAGAAAGAAATGTGTGTGCTAAAGATACCTGTTCACTCCTTCTGCTTCCTCCCCCTTCCAGATTTATCTAGGGGGGTTGGGGGGGCTATTATCAGTGCAGGTTGACCTTCCTGGTCCAAAGAGCAGTGACATTAGTAGCCACTGGGGTGGCTCTTTCAGAGGGCAGGGACTTGAGTTCCTCCATTTTCTGATGGGGCTGTGAGGCAGGTTCTGCCTCCTAGGTCTCTGTATCTCCTGCTGGGATTATCTGAGCAAGTATAGGAATCTCCTGGAACTGGCCTGAACTACCTCCAGCTGTTACTGCCTAAGGGAGTAACTGGAGGAGGAACAGTCAAGAACAAGAATTGCTTGGGTCTAGATTGCTCCCACCCCACCCCCCATCAGTTTTTGTCTACCACCAAATATTTTAGCCCTGAGGCTGTAGGAATCTCCTGAATGGTTAATCCAGGTCTTCCCCTAGGTAAATGACTTCACCATTTTATGCTTTGTTTTGTGAAAAGAAACCAGGTGATCCTCTCTCCCGGAGTTATCACGAAGGTTAAATATTATCATTAAATAAGTTAATCATTTAACTTAGGCTGCCTGAGGTTTGTAAGAATTATAAAACCCATGCTGGATTGGGATTAATGAGCCAGAAGTTTTCTCTGAATCAGTGATTGTACTGGGGCTTGTTAAGGAGAATCCTGGGTACGATACAGTTTTGCTGCCAACAAAGAGACCGCCTCTGTGCAAAGCTCAGATATCTTTCCTCTATTCTAATCCTGATGTAAGTTGGGCTCAGGGTTCCATGATATTGAAGTCAAAAATATCCTTGAACTGAAAAACACCAGCTGGGTAGAGAACAGTGTTTAATGCAGCACCATTTATTACCTCAAAAGTAACTTTTAAAATTTCATTCTGGGGTCTCCCCTGGTGGCGCAGTGGTTGAACGCTGGGCTGCGAGGCTGCCCTCAGTCTCTGCAGCGCCAGTTCGTTACCTGGCTGCCAGCAAGGGCCCCGCAAAAAATAAATAAATAAATAAATAAATAAATAATTTTTAAAAATTTCATTCTGATCTAAGAGTAATACATAATTCTTAATAAAAATAATGGAGGGGCTTCCCTGGTGGCGCAGGGGGTTATGAAACACAGCACTATGAAGGTATCCACAGCCTCTGCAGCACGCGTTCAATCCCCAGCCAGGGAGGTGACCCATATGGCACAGCAGACCTCTCCTGTGTGACCTACTGCTCCGGATTTCAGTAGATCTGCCTGTTTTGTTCCCCACTCTGTCTCTGGTGAATCCTCTTACTCCCCACACCTCTGACCTGTACCCCCGTTCTTGTGTGCATAAATAAATAAATATTTAAAAAAAAATGATGGATAATATTGTTAGGAGAATTGATGCTTGTGGGTCCAGGTGTATACATGGGTTGAGGAATGACAGCCGTCTCACCAAACGTGAGAGCAAGCAAGTATGGATTTATTGAAGCAAGAGGGAAGAGGAAGAGCTCCTGATAGCAGGAGGGGATCCAAGAAAGGTACCCATTTATGCCAGCCCTGTCTATAACCATATATAATGTCAGACTAACTTGTTGCTCAATGTGCCAGACTATCCATTAGGCACCAGGTGGTTGGGAAGTTTTGTGATGTTGTTTATTCCAGTCATCCTGGGGCCCGATCTTACCCTCTGGTGGAGACTGAATCAGCGAACATTCCAGCAAAAACATCTGTTTGTATTGTTCTAAGTTCGATATTGTCTTCAATCATTGTCCCATGTCTCAGCTTTTCTGTTGTCCCAGTCCTCCCGGTCTCAGTATAATAAATAAGATAATCAAATTTAATTCCTTCATTTCACCTTCAATACAGACTGCTTTTTAGTTATGTTTGGTGCATTTCCCTTCAAATCTTTAGTGTGTTTTTGTTTCATAGTTGTGATTATTATACATGAATGCATAAATGGCATGTGTAAAATTTAATGATCTGTGATCACCTCACATTCCAGGTTTAAGTTATTGCATACTTTCATTTTATTTTTTCTAAAGATTTATTTATTTATGCATTTATGTGAGGTGTATGCCAGAGGTGCAGGGGGTGAGAGGATTCACCAGAGCGGGGAAGCAGAACAGGCAGATGTACTGAAATACACTGTTGAGGGGAGCTGCAGGCAAGACAGAAGAGGTCTGCTGCGCCATGTGGGTAGCTCCCTGGCCATCCAGGGGAATCGAACTCATGCTGCAGTGGCTGGTGATAGCTTGATAGCGCTGTCTTTAACCCTTTGACCCCTGTACGACCAGGGAGGCCCAGTTAATGCATACTTTAAAAAAAAATCATTATTTTCCTGTGTGAGTGTGTTTTAATTAATAGGCTGTTTTTCATAGCAATTTTAGTTTTACAGTAGAGAACGGAGCATTTTCCCCTTTGCTTCTAGGTTCTGTGGCTGGTTTAATAATTGCATTTACATAACGCAGATAAACAGGACAAAGGCAAAATTTTAATTTTGTGTGTATGGGGGAGGGGCACAAATACAAGAACTAAAAGACAATTATGTATGAGCTAAGGGCCTGAGGCTTCAAAGAGGAGGAAGACAATTCACAGAAAAATGAGAAAGGCAGATGTTTGGTAAATAAACGTTTGCAGGTCTTGCAGGTAAGTTTCTCAGATATAAAGAGTTCTATTTGGTAATAGCTGTCTTCCTAACACTTTCTAAGTGGCCCCCTTTCTAAGTTCTTTTAGGTGGTTTAAGGGATTGTAAAAAGCTTTTCCTATATTGCCATCAGCTCAAAATAATTAATGTGCCAAAATGGGACTGTGTGGGGTGGCTTTAAAGACCAGCAGAAAGTATCAAGTTCCTTTTCCCCCCATCACACTTCAGGTTTCCCCTATTACCAGCTTTCTATGTTAGTGTGGTACATTTGTCACAATTGGTAAGCCAATATAGATGCATTATTAATAACTAAGGTCCAATTTTTATATTAGGATTCATTCGTGGTGTATACTTTTTTAAAAACATTTTTTAACTTGTGAAATTTACATTTTATTTTTATTTAGTAGAAGAACTGGGGTGTAGGCCAGAGGTATGGGGAGGAGTGGGGAAGAGAGGATTCACCAGAGACAGAGTGGGGAGCAGAAGAGGCAGATTGACTGAAATACACTGCTGAGGGGGAGCAGACAGGAGAGGTCTGCCGTGCCTTTTGTGGGTTTAGCTCCCTGGCCAGAGATGGAACTCAGGCTGTAGTGGTGTTAACCCTGAGACTTAACCCCTCAGCCACCAAGGAGGCCCTTTTGTGAAACTTTTGATTAGAAACTTTATATGTATGCATTTCAGGGTAAATGAAGTCATGTGTGAATTCAGTGTCTACCTGATTTGAACCTGTGTTTGCTTGAATCCTGTCTTTGTCTGTATCCTGTGGGGTGGCATCTGACTTTGTGATGTCTTTCTTTAATATTGTGATATCCTTTTTGTCCTTGTTGCTGTACTCATATTAAGGATCTCATTTGGCTGTCCTCTCTTACCCACAATTTCAGCCTCTGCAGCTAACATCATTTCCAACACAATGGGAATGCTGAATGGAAATAGGGTGCTTCCCTGGGTGGTGGTAATGTCAGCTGGGGATCCCACTTGTTAGAATTTGCATTAAGCCCCTCTGGTGCTCCTGCTTTCTGAGCAGTGACTTAGATGTTGCTGGTCTCAGAAACAAGAACAGATCAGTGCTTGATGCTGTCATGGCCCCTTCTACTTGGCCTTTATCCTTTTGACTGGTCTTGCCTGTGTGAGGGCACACCTTTCCTTCATTTAGTTCATGTGAGGTAAGCCTGGGATTTTTCAAGGGAGCATTTTTCTTGGTGGGGGGGGTTTGGAGGGGAGGAAGGAAGCAAAGTATAAAAATATGGAAGGAGAATCTATAAAACCAGATGTTTTTATAACTGAAATTAACCACAGAGAACTTGGTTAGGAATACTGAGTCAGCCTGCTTACTTTCATCAACTCGTTTTAGTTCAGAATGCTACTTTATCTGCTCCATAGCCTGTATGTCCTCATTTTTTCTCCATCTCTGGTGAGGAAGAGCCAGTTTCCTTTTTTTTTTTTTTTTTAAGTTTCAGATATATTTATTAATCAGTGTAAACCCCTACAGAATACACCAACACGATTTCGTGCATTTAGAGGGAAGTATTTCCTGGTTAAGTGGAAAATTGTGCGGACGGCTTCTGGAAGACCTTCATTTTAAGCAGCTTTATAGTGAAATATTTCGTTTAGAAGTCTGGACCTTCTTTCTTCAGTTTGCTGTAATCTACATTCACTGAATAGAACTTGTATTGATCATTGGGGCCCAATTTGTTCCAGGGTTCTGGGTTATTCTTTCTGTCCCAACTGACATCTGGATTGAACAAAGCCAGACGCATGACATAGAGCGCTGCACCAATACCTCCCGCTCCAATAAATACGAAGAGTGGGATCAGCTAGGGTGCTTCCTGGCCTGACTGAAGATCTGGCGGAGCATGGCTGTGGGAGAGGCCTTGGGCCAGGAAGATGAGAACAAGCCTGTAAGGCCGATCAAAGTCACTGCTCCTAGGCAGTGTGGACGTCCAAAGTCATCCAGGACCTCCTCAGTTTCCTTTTTCTTGAGGACAGGGTACCGTGAACAGCTGGTGGTTTCTCACTGAGTAAAGAAATACTTGCTGTCAACATGGCTATCTTTGTATTAGTTCCTCCAAAGGTTTAGCTAATACCTCAATACTCACAGTTCCCTCCTCATGGCAGTATTTGATGCTCATCCTAACTGTGGCTTTACAGGTGAAGTGTGGAGGAATGAGGATTCGTATTGCCCACTTTGAGAAGGTCTAAAGTTACTGAGACCCTGTCATGCTGGGACTGGTCAAGCTCACACAAGAATTGTGACACTCCTGTTCTCCTATCCCCCCCTTATTAACTTTGTTCCAAACCTAATCCTGGTTGCAACTCTTGTTGCTCGTGTTAATCATGTGAGAAGCTAAAAAAATAAGATTCCAGGTATAAGTCATGTAGGATGAATCTAATGTGACAGTTTCATGACTGAAATAAAGTCAAGGTTGAGAAATGCGTCTGTTGTCAAATACCAGGCCTTGAACATTTAAAATTGCATCATTTTTTAATTTCAATTTTTGTAGTCTAGACAGCCATCAAGCTCATCTGGCCTAATGGTCTTCCTGCCTGAATCTTATCTCATTCCAATTCAATTTGTACTCTATAACTAGACTGATCTTTAAAATGCCTTGTGAATTCTTTCCCTACCCCAAACCCCATTTGCAGCACTATGAAGCTATCCACAGCCACTGTAGCATGAGTTTGATCCCTGGCCAGCCAGGGAGGTGACACACATGGGTGCAGCAGACCTCTCCTATCTCTCCTGCTGCTCCCCTTAGCAGTGTATTTCAGTCAGTCTGCCTGTTCTGCTCCCCACTCTGTCTCTGGTGAAACCTCTCCCCACCTTCAACCCCTACACTTCTGGCCTACTTCCCAGCTCTTGTATGCATAAATAAATAAAATAAATCTTTAAAGCAGATATGTAAAACATGCAAATGAAAGTCTTTATAATTCCACCCCCCCCCATAAAAGTACCACTGTTAACATCTTGTATATTCCTTCAAATTAAAGCAAAAATTGACTTGCCATATATATTATTTTGCCATTTGCTATTCTGCCTCTTTAAATCTTTCCCCTTCTATCTCTATCTTATTCTATTTAGTGTTAAGTGTTCCATTTTATGACTGTTCCATCATTAGCCAACCATGTGCTAATGGACATTTAATTAATTCTTGTTTTTTTCTCTAGAATAAACAGCACTGCAATGAATATAATTTTGCATACTTTTATATATGTTCAGTTTCCAAAAGTGAAGACTGTACTGTCAAAGGATAGGAATGGTTTTAATGTTATTAGAATGCCAAGTTACACTCCAGGAACCATGGGTGTTGAGGGAAGTATCCCAAGACATGGAGAAGAGACTAAAGAGGAACCTTGAGCGCACTCAAGCTGTGATGGCCTTCTCTGTAAGGAAGTGTGTAGGTGACTGGCTATAAACTAGGAGTTGAAGGTTCAATGAAAGGGAATGGGCCTGTTCTCTGAGGTGGTGATGGGGACAAAAAGGATCTTGAATTGACTTGTCTCCTTTGCTTCCATCTTACAACTAAGCCACCATAATCTTTTTTTTTTTAAAGATTTATTTATGCACGCAAGAATTGGGGTACAGGCCGGAGGTGCGGGAGGTGAGAAAGTTCACCAGAGACAGAGTGGGGAACAGAACAGGCAGATTGATGGAAATATACTCCTGAGGGGAGCAGTGGGTGAGTCAGGAGAGGTCTGCTGTGCCATGTGGGTTGCTCCCTGGCTGGGGATCAAACTCATGCTGCAGTGGCTGTGGACAGCTTCATAGCTTATGTGTTAACTCCTTGTGCCACCAGGGCGGCCCATCCACCTTAATCTTTTGCCTCAGCAGCAATAATATGTTCTTGGTTAGTCTCCCTGCTTCTATGCTTTCTCCTTTCATTTATTTTAAGTTTGTTATTCCCTTCAATTTTCTTTACCCATCAGACAGTATTTTAAGGTGAAGGTTAAGTGGTCTCATTTTGCTCCTTTAAAACATTATAGACTTCCCACTGCACTGAAGTAAAATTCTTGTGAAAGGTTCTAGCTTTGCCATTCTGCAGATGACCTTTCAGTTATGATATCCTTTTACAGCTCATTTTTCTAATACTTTGTTACAGATACAAGTTTACACTGACTCTGACATTCTTTTTTTTCCTTTAGATTCCTGCTCCAAAGCGAGGAGAAGTAGTGAGACAGATTGGTGATGCCTTGAGGGAAAAGATTCAAGTGCTAGGAAGCTTGGTAAAGTATTTTTGTAGTAAATATATAACCCTTTGGTGAATAAGGCTATCATGCATTTCTGTGCCTAAGATTGTGATTTTTAAGAAGAACAACTTACACATTTTAAAAATCTGTAAAAGAAAGAGTAACAGGATGGGTAGGAAAAAGTGAAAACAATTTTTAGGTTTAAAAATTCTTTTTTTTAAAGATTCATTTATATATGCACACAAGAACTGGGGTACAGGCCAGAGGTGTGGAGGGTGAGAGCATTTACCAGAGACAGAGTGGGGAGCAGAATAGGAGCTCTGACTGAAATACACTTCTCAGGGTAGCAGCGGGCGAGTCAGGAGAGGTCTGCTGCGCCATGTGGGTAGCTCCCTGGCTGGGGATCGAACTTCTGCTACAGTGGCTATGGATAGCTTCATAGGTTGCATCTTAACCCCTTGTGCCACCAGGGAGGCCCTAGGTTTAAAAATTCTTTAGAAAAATATGAACAAACTGTGAAATTTATTAGTTTCACAAACCATTTTGTCCCCCCCCCTTCCATTTAGCTCCCCCCATCAATTTAATTGTTTAAAACATGAATTATGTTGGAAAAATACTACTTGACTTTTTGTATTTTAGGTGTCTTTGGAGATGGGAAAGATCTTGGTGGAAGGTGTAGGAGAAGTTCAAGAGTATGTGGATATTTGTGATTATGCTGTTGGCTTATCACGGATGATTGGGGGACCCATCTTGCCTTCTGAAAGTAAGCAGTGAAGTCAGCTAAGCTGAGTGTTGTACAGGGTGCTCCAGACAAACAAAAATGCTATGGCTATAAACCGTTTGCAAATGAGGAATTGTAAATAGTAAATAATTTTTTTTTAAGGTTTATTTTATTTATGCATCCAAGAGCTGGGGTACAGGCCAGAGGTGTGGGGGGTGAGAGGATTCACCAGAGACAGTGGGAAGCAGATCAGGCAGATCTACTGAAATACACTGTTTCGAGGAGCAGTGGTCGAGACAGGAGAGGTCTGCTGCGCATGTGGCTTAGCTCTCTGAGTGGGAATCAAACGCATGCTGCAGTGGCTGCTGATAGACCCATATTGCTGAGACTTAACCCCTTGTGCCACCAGGGAGGCCCAAGTAGTGCATAAATATTTAAAAATATCATTAATCACTTTAAGAAATGCCAGTTAGACCAGGTGAAAGCATCAGATCAAGAAGCTTTCTGATTTTTTTTATTATTATTAAAGGTAAAATTAGGTGTTGATACTTCCATGGGTGATACAGTTTTTTATGGACTTTTGACAATTTGGAAATAATCCATAGAGCCTTATATTTAGTACTACTTGTAAGAAATAAATAAGTGCCTCCCTGGTGGCACAGGGATTAAAGACACAGCACTATCGCCAGCCACTGAGACATGAGTTCAATCCCTACCCAGGGAGCTGACCCACATGGCACAGCAGACCTCTCCTGTCTCACCCACTGCTCCCCTCAGGAACATGAAGAACTTGGGAGTTCTGAGAGTTAGGACTCTTGTGTTCTGGTCAGGCTCTGCCCTTTGGGATCACATGCCCTAAGGCAGATAGGGCACCTCTGAAGTTTCTTGGTCTCCCATATAGGAGTAGTATGTGCCACTGCCGCAAAGAGTTCCTATGAGGATTAGAGGCACGGTGAATGTTGTGATGGCTTCAAGGGATGTGTCTTATCAGGTTTTGTTGCATGCTAATTAATGTGCCACTATCCTACAGCCATGTAAAGTGATCCCTGTTCAAGGCATCTGGATTTGCCACATGTGCCAGTGCACCTTTGTTCTTTTTAAATTGACCTGCAGTAAGTTCACAGTCAACCATGTCCCACACCTTCTGTTTTCAGGACCTGGCCATGCACTCATTGAACAATGGAATCCCATAGGCCTGGTTGGAATCATCACGGCATTCAACTTCCCTGTGGCCGTGTATGGCTGGAACAATGCCATCGCCATGATCTGTGGGAATGTCTGCCTTTGGTGAGACTAACTCATGTTCTTATCCAGTAGTAACATGATAAAAGTAGCCAGTGCTTCTCAAACTATTTTAAATGGATAGAAATGTTTTCTATTGCTTTTCTTTCATTTAACATATGAAGTCATACCTGTTGTAAAATGCTGATTCTTAATTGCTATGTATTTTGCCATTGCTAACATTTTTTTAAAGATTGATTTACTTATGCATATAAGAACTGGGACACAGGCCAGAGGTGTGGGGGTTGAGAGGATTCACCAGAGACAGAGTGGGAAACAGAACAGGCAGACTGAGTAAAATATACTGCTGTGGAGAGCAGCGGGCGAGATAGGAGAGGTCTGCTGCTCTACAGCTCCCTGTGCTGTAGAGGCTGCGGATAGCTTCAGACTGCTGTGCTTAACCTGTTGTGCCACTAGGAAGGCCCAACACTTTTTTTTTTAAGATTTATTTATTATACATACAAGAGCTGGGGTACAGGCCAGAGGTGCGGTGGGGAGGGGAGGGAGGAGGAGGGGCGTGAGAGGATTTACCAGAGACAGAGTGGGGAACAGAACAGGCAGACTGATTGAAATATACTGCCAAGGGGAGCAGCGGGTGAGACAGGAGAGATCTGCTATGCCATGTGGGCTGCTTCCTGGCTGACTGTGGATCTAACTGGTGCTGCAGAGGCTGAGAATTGCTTCATAGTGCTGTGCTTAACCCCCTGCACTACCAGGGAGGCCCTCAAACCTTTTTTTTTTTTTTTTTGATGCAACCTTGTCCTCCTGGTCCTCCCAGCCGTTCCCAGCACTGATAGGAGACCTATAACTCATTTCTGACACAACCCACGGGGTTAGGCTCCTTGTGGTTGAGGGCTCAATCCTCCTCAAGGATGCTTCATCTTCAGATGGAAGCCGCAAGTGTCCCCAGACATCTGCCATTCTGACCAACCCTCTAATCTCAGGGTTGGTCTTTTTGGTGGCCTGTGACCATCCCCCACACTGAAGCTATCTAGGGACCCCAACTGTCACCTTGTTAGATGTTAAATGTCAACATTTATATCACTATAGAAACTCCAACAGATTTTGGGGCCCTGTGTCAGAAACTGGGGCCAAACACCAGATATAGTCTTTCTATGTGTTCTGCATTCCTCCAACAGAAACTATGCTAACAAATAGCAGAAAGAAAAAAGAAGTTGTGAAAAGTCAATATCTTCCATTTTTTTTTTTTTTTTTTGTGGGACCCTCGCCCGCAGCCAGGAAACGAACTGGCACTGCAGAGGCTGCGGGTAACCTCGCAGCCCAGCACTCAACCGCTGCGCCACCAGGGGAGGCCTTCATTATCTTCTTTTTAAAGTTTGCCTTTTTTCCCCCCAATAAAAATTTGATAATGAATTCCCAGTGATTTCGGAGGCACTTGACCAATGTTCTCACTGATGAACTAAATTGGAAATAAATGTATTTTATACATGACAAAATATTTGCTTGTTTTCAGCTTTCACATTCAGTGGAAGAAGTCTCCCATTAGTGTTGTACTCATCCTAATGGCTTCCTCCACTGGATGTACTCAGAATGTCGACAAAATTCAGGGCAGAACTGGGAGGATTAATAATGTGGTTCTCTGATGCCAAAGGAGCACAGATTTGCCAGTCTTTTACTCTAGAAAGTCTGCTTGTTTATAGTTTCCTCAGTCTCTCTAGGCCTTCAATCAAACTTCATTTGGACAGATTTCTTTTTGACCTGGTATCCATAATTGGCAGAGGTTAATGTAACAGTTCCTAGATCAGTGCAGCAAGCAGGTTCAGAATTGTTTGGTGCCCTTTTTTATGTTCATCAAAGTGTTATATAGTCTATTAGGTCCCAGAGACACCAAGCTTGAAGAATAGATATCTATTTGTTACTAGACTCAGTTGGCTAATTGTGCAGACCTTTTTTCCACAAAGACTTTTGCTTCTGCTTGATAATAAAATATATTTATGATTTCTACCAAATTAAATTGCTCTTCTTTCTCTTTTTAATCTCTAAAGGAAAGGAGCTCCAACAACTTCTCTCATTAGTGTAGCTGTCACAAAGTAAGTATGTGTGGCTTTGTTTTTGCTTGCTATGGAATAATCTTGGAAAGTGTGATTGAAAGACACTGGATTTTTAAGTTCAATTGAAAGTGTCACTTATCTAAGCATGGAATTTGGATAACCTCTTTCTCTGTGATTGTGCTAACATTTAATATTGTCTTGCAGTTTGCAGAACTATTTCATTTAATTCTTCAGAAATTTGAACTCTTAGAAACATTTTGTCATTTGCACAATTAAAGTATCTACAGCAGAAAGGAAATATCCTTGCAATTTAGGGGCTATGTTTTGTAACTATTCAACTAGTGGTTTTGATTCCACCTAGCTAATACTTTTATTGCTTTTCTCTAATAGACTGTTAGAAAGGATGGTACTGATTCTTCTAACACTCTCTTTAAAATGTATTTTGCTTAAAAATTATTGTTTTATTCGTATTTAAAAATTTGACAACTCTGACTAGATCATAAAACCAGTTTACTAATTTTTCATTCTGAAATTTGTAAAGAATAGCAGTGGGTGCCTTCCGTGTTGAGTGATGGTGCACCCTGGATGTTCCCTTGGTTGCATGGTTTGTATTCTCTGATGGAAGAATTGTTGACAAAGAGCTTGTGGCGGAGTATCTGGGAAAGAGTGTCCTTAATGTCAGAAGATCACTTAGGAGCACTGACTTAGAAATTGAAAAGTAGGCTGAAAAAGAGTAGTATGTTAGTGTTTCCTTGAAAGGAAGAGGCGCTATTGAGGAAACAGTATCCTATAAGGCAGTGGTGTTCAAATTAAATATTAAATAGAAGTAAAAGAATTGAAAATGCATTAAAATGATAAAGGTAGAAGCCAGACCATGATGTAAATGTCTATAATGCTTTATGTATCCATAAACCAATAGTCATAAAAATTAAAAAAAAATTATGAGATTCCTCAGGCAATTAAAAAAAATTATTGAATAAATTTGATATATGTATGATTGTATATGTTTAAAGTGCACAGTGTTACTTTGTTACATTTATATAGTATATGACACTGCTGTGATATTTGTCACATATATTTATAGCATAATATTATTGTTTATATTCACTGTAACTGTGTTAGATCTCTATGACTTATTTATTATTCATTGCAAGTTTGTCTCTTAAACATCAGTCTTATCCCACCCTCCCCCCGAGCCTCTCATAAGCCACGGCTTTACTGTTCTTTGGAGGTTTGACTTTTTTAGATAACACATATAAATGTGACTGTCTTTCTTTGTCTGACTTAACTCATTTAGCATAAAATGCTCAAGGTCCGTCTATGTTGTTGTGAAGGGAAGGCTATCATTTTTCAAGTCTGAATACTAGTCCAGTGTGTACAGTCATACATTGCTCTTAACAATATTTGTCAGCAATGGACCGAATACAAAATGGTGGTCCCGATAGAGCATCCCATACAATCTATGTGTGTAGTGGACTGTGCCATCTAGGTTTATATAATTAAACTTTATGATTGCAAAGTGATGTAATTGTCTAAGGATGCATTTCTTAGAGTGTACCCCTGTTATTAAGTGACACACAGTTTTCTGAGTTTCCTGGTAGCTTGTTGAATTTCTTCATAACAGCTATTTTGAATTCATCAGTTAGATTTCAATATTCTGTCTTTGGGTTCAGTTGCAGAGGAGGTGTCATTTTCTTTTTGTAATACAATGTTACCATGGTTTCTCAGTGTTTGATGAAGTGTGTCACATTTGAAGAAGTGAGTACCTTATTTAAGTAGGCTTTGTTTATTTTGAATTTCTAAAAGTTAAACAGGTTGGTCATTAGAACCCTTTTTTTAAAAAAAAGATTATTTATTTATGCATACAAGAGCTGGGACACAGGCCAGAGATGCGGGGGTGGTGAGAGGCTTCACCAGAGACAGAGCGGGGAACAGAACAGGCAGACTGACTGAAATACACTGCCGAGGGGAGCAGTGGGTGAGACAGGAGAGGTTTGCCATGCCATGAGGCTTGCTCCCTGTCTGGCCTTGCTGCAGAGGCTGCAGATTGCTTCATAGTGCGGTGCTTAACCCCTGACGCCACAGGGAGGCCCCCATTAGAACCCTTTTTTGTTTTTCCAGAAGGTGGTGCTATAGCATAGTGTTTTATTTTGTTTTGTTTTCTTTACATCACTGACAGCACGAAAGTTGGGAGTACTCACTTTATAAAAAGAAAATGATTTTGCAACAGGGTAGGGGGAGGTGTGTGCATTTGGAGCATTGAGCATGTCCATGGTCTGGGAGGGGGAACCTCATGTGGAGAGCCCCAGAGGCCATTGGGCTTACCTCTTGCTCAAGCCCTGGAACAGACATCAAGTAATGAATTCCTTCAGTTCTCTTTATCTTTCTTCACTTTTCATTACCTCCCTCCCGTCAGGGAAGTCACTCTTTGGAAATCGAAGTGTTGCCAAAGAGCAGCTAGACACTCCAACTGCAGTCCCTGTTCCTGGGCACACCTTTACTCACCTCTTTGATTTTCTGTTTTCTGCTGGTGAGGTCACAGTTGATGCTGTCAGGTGCCCCCTCCTTCCCTTGGCTCTGTATTCTTCGAGGTCCAGCCCATCCTCAGATGGATGGATCTCTCAGATATCCTTGTGTATTTTACAGAGGCACTTTTGTCTGATGTGTCCAATTAGTTGTCAGTTGAAGGAGGGAGGAAAGAGCAGTGACTCACACTGCCAAGGTGCTGACATCGCTCACTGGAATCAGATGATTTTTTAAAAATATATATAAACTTTAAAGTGAAGAAAAAGTTACTGGACTGTATTTCTTATTTTTACTATCAGCACAGGTTGTAGGAGACTGATTAAGAAAAAGCTTTTCTTGTAATGCTTTAGGAGGACATTGATCCTAAGAGGTTTGGTGTGAAGCCAGATGACCTTAGACCTGAGATTTTCTAGTCGTCTTTTTTTTTTTTTTTTTAAGATTTATTTATTTATGCATACAAGAACAACAGGGTTACAGGGCAGAGGTGTCGGGGGTGAGAGGATTCATCAGAGACAGAGTGGGGAACAGAACAGGCAGACTGACTGAAATACACTGCTGAGGGGAGCAGAGGTCGAGTTAGGAGAGGTCTGCTGCACCATGTGGGTTGCTCCCTGGCCTGGGATCGAACTTGTGCTGCAGTGGCTGCGGGTAGCTTCATAGGTTGTGTCTTAACCCCTTGTGCCACCAGGGAGGCCCACATTCTCTAGTCTTCTGAAGGCAGATCCTGCCCCATCTCTTCAGTGTCCACTCTGGGTTTTAGGGACCTCTTTCCATTTTCTCTTTTATCCCTTCCAACTGGCTCTGCTTAGCACAAATGTGTTGAAATCTCCTTTTCTCACCTCATTTTCTTAATCTTTGTAGGCTTAATCCCTTCTTATTTATCTCTTTATCTTTAGTGGATTTATAGTAGGAGATCACAAAAAAAAAACACAGAAAACCGGTGATCAGTATTATCTTCAACCAGATATGTCTAAAATTTGGCAGAAAACACTTGAAAACAGTGATCATTTGAACTAACCCTTAGGTCATTGGAATTTATTACAAGTTTTCTCCCAAATCCTCAGGTATTAAATTGCTCCCTTAATAATTGCTCTTTCCTTTCCAGGATAATTGCCAAGGTTCTGGAGGACAACAGACTGCCTGGTGCGATCTGTTCTTTGACTTGTGGTGGGGCAGATATTGGGTACGTTCATATGTTGAGGGTATCTTTCTGTTGAAGGACTCCTGGTTGATTCACTAGAATCATATTCACTAGAATAACTAAAATCAGTTCATACAGATATGAGAATGGTTCTTTGGAATCATTGTGGACCTTCTTGGTTTTTCACTTTATTAATGTGTAGTCTCTGTTAAAGCATACCATTTTTTTCTTTTTAATTGCCCAGAGCTACTATTTGTAAAGGGTTTGTATCTTAAAATGACAGACTTTCTTAATGGAGAACAGTACATGGTTCCCTGACTCTTGATTTGCCAGGTGCCTATTAACAAAGCAAAGCTATGGGGTAGTAATCTGGTATCTAGCTCCCTCCTGAAAACCTAGCTTAGAGTTTGGGTTCTTCAGCTTACCAAAAGAGGGAACCCTAGGAATGTAGTCTCTCTCTTTTATCTTTTTTACTACTCTTTTATTGAAAGTCACCATATAATTTACATACCATAAAATGTTTCATTTTAAAATGTACAACTCAATGGTTTTAGAACGTCCACAATGTTGTGGAAATGTTAATCTAAAACATTTTCTTGTTCCCAAAAGGGAACCTGTACCCATAAGCAGTCCCTTCTAATTCCTCCCTTCCCCCTGGGAATCACTAGCCTGATTTCTGTCTCTATAGATTTGTCTATTTGGGACAAAGCATCTGGCTTTGTTCTTGTGTGTGATGTAGCATAATGGTACAGCCTTTCTTAAAACTGGAAATGATTGTCATTGCTCTGAACCATAATGAGAGCTTGATGTGGCTTAGTCTTTGATAGGGTGAGGTTTCAGAGGAATCTAGCCTTAAAACCCATACTAGTGTGGTTAAAATATTAATCTTCTTGCAACACTTTCTTCTAGTACTCTACTTATTGGGCAGTCTCACGAAGAAGCATCAAGTTACTCCTTTTTTCATATAAATGAGGAAATATTACAAAATACAACTCCCACAGAGAGAGTACATAGTAAAGTATTATCCATTTGTCATTACAACTTGAATATTCTATTCTTTGACCCACTGTATTCTTGCACTTTGGGCCTTCAATGTTGGTCTGGAAATAGCTCAGGTAGGCAGAATAGCAATATCTACCTTTAGCATCAGTGTTCATGTTTGCTGGGCTGCACCTACAGAAGCCTACAAGAGTGATTTCATTAGACTGTTCCAGCTGTAACATTAGACAGTGCCGTTTGGCCCTCTTCGAGTACTTTGAAATACTGACCTATGAACAAAGGACTTCAAATCAATAGTGTCTGATCTACATTCTGTAGAAGCAACTGGAAATCCTAGCACAGTCTTTTATAAGTACGTTTCTACGAGTAGTACTTAGGATGTTGTCATTTTTTAAAGGAATTAGTAGTTTTAGGAGTGTGCAAAAATAACTGGGATACTCATCAAGGAAATACTAAGGTCCTATTATCTACTCATCCCCTTCAGTATATGAAAGATTTTCTTCTTTAACAATGTCAGTTCATACAATAGGTTAACTTTAAAACCTATTCTGCTGCATGGGTCTTCTCCTGAAAAGTCAACTTCAATTTTTGAAGACCTTCCCGTGTACTCCTAGGATAGGCTTCCTGTAGCTTTGATCTTGCCTTTTCTGACAAGGACTTGGGTCAGGTTTTCTGGCAGGGAAGCATTGGGTGGTGCCATTGCTGGATTTCTCTGCTTGGGTGATGGTGTCTGTTTCCCTGCAGCAAAACAATGGCCAAAGATGAGCGGGTGAACCTGCTGTCATTCACTGGGAGCACTCATGTGGGAAAAGAGGTGGCCCTTATGGTGCAGGAGAGGTTTGGTAAGTGTTGGCTTTCTTTTCTTTCTTTAAAGATTTATTTTTATTTATTTATTTATGCATACAAGAACTGGGGTGTATGCCAGAGGTGCTGGAGTGGGGCTGGTGAGAGAATTCATCAGAGACAGAGTGGGGAGCAGAGCAAGCGGATCCACTGAAGTACACTGCTGAGGGGAGTGGAGAGCGAGACAGGAGAGGTCTGCTGCAACCTGTGGGTCAGCTCCCTGGCTGGGCATCAAAATCTTGCTGCAGTGGCTGGTTGATGGTGATAGGTTGATGGTGATGAGTCTTAACCCCTTGCACCACCAGGGAGTCCCTGGTAAGTGTTGGCTTTCTAGTAAGGATTTTAATTCTCTCAGAGGTGTTAATGCAAAATCTAAAAAGTGGTTTTTTTCTGCCTTGACTTTCTGGGACAGCAGCTATTGTTTATTTGAATATCCAAGTGAAAGAAAAGGATATTGTTAATAGTGGATTAATGTTAGGAAGATAGAAAAGTAAGTAAAAATAGCTTAACTTGAAAAAGGATGTCATTTTCCCCCTAAATGACTATAGTGGAATCATAGCAAATATATTTTTCAATGTCTGTTAAACCTATTTGATAAATAAGCAGAAGAGAACTCAGGTTCTGAGTACTGGAGTGAATGTGGAATAGAAGACTTGAATCTGTTTCTTTTCTCATTATTATTAATATATATCATTAAGAAGGTTTATGTTGACATAGCTTTGTTTGTTCTATTTTACAACTCGTTAAAGAGATTTTCAAGGACAATAGTGACTATCAATTTTTGACTATTATGTCAAAGAGTTATTAACTATGGAACTCTTAGAAGAAAAACAATAATAAATTATAATTTTGGATTAGGCAGTCTTTTCTTAGATAATGGCCTCTAGAGCATGAGCAACCTAAGAAAATACAAATGAATTGCATTTTATCAAAATTAGAAAACTTTTTACAGGGCTGAGTTTTCTAGCTTCTGTGGAAAAGAGTTTGGAGAGTTCTAAACTTTAACCACAGCATAAAGTGACTCTTGGCTAATTAATCTGCCAGCAATTTTGCAATTGGCTTTAAAAAAAAAGTTTACAAAAAGTATTTAAAGTTAATGCATGAGGTCAGCAAAGAGGTAGAATATAAAGTCAATACATAAAAATCAATTGAGAAAACAGTTCCATTTATTTGGGAATCAAAATGAATGAAATACTTAGGAATTAATTTATCAAAATAAGTGTAAATCTTTCACACAGTAAAATCTTTCATCACTGAGAAAAACTTAAAAATGCCTACATAAATATAAAGATATCCCACTTTCACTTTTTGGAAAACCTAAAGTCATTATCAATATTCCACAATTGAATGCAATCCCTTTCAAAATATCAGCAGGCTTTTTGGGTAGAAATTTATGAGCTGATCCTAAAACTTACACAGAAATGCAAAGAACCTTGAATAGCCAAATTTTTTGTGAAAAATAGCAAAGTCAAAGGTTTCATATTTTCTAATAAAATGACAGTAATCAGGAGTATAGATAACAGCATAAAGGTATCAATAAAATAGAATTAAGAGTCCAGAAATAAACCCTTACATTTCTGTCAGTTGACAAAGTTTTTTGACAAGGATGTCAAGACATTTCAATGGGTCAAGAATTATCATTTCAACAAATGGTCTGGGACAACTAAATATTCACATATATATGTATGAACTGAGACCTATGTCATCCTACATGCAAAAACTAGTTCAAAATATATAAAAGACCCAAATTTAAGAGCTTTAACTATAAAACTCTAAGAAGAAAACAGGAATAAATTGTGACTCCATTAGGTAGTTGTTTCTTAGATAATGGCCCCTAAAGCACAAGCAACTGAAGAAAATACAAATGAAGTGCATTTTATCAAAATTAAAAACTTTTACAGGGGCTGACTATTTCAGCTTCTGTGGAAGAGTTAGGAGACTTCTCAGACTATTACAAATAGACTACCATATAATCCAGCACTTCTACTCCTAGGTATTTGAAGAATACAAAAACACTAATTCAAAAGAATATGAGCACTGCTGTGCTCATTGCTGTATTTATAATAGCCAAGCTTAGAAACAACCTTAAATTATATACAGTGTTGTAAACTAACATCTCAATAACAATACAATTTTATAAAAGTATAAACTTGTGTTTTAAAGGATACCATCAAAAAAGTGAAAAGAATAACCTACAGAATGGCAGAAGATATTTACAAACCCTATATCTGATGAGGGAATTAGATCTACAATATGTACCAATCCTTGAAATTCAACAGTATAGTAGACAATCCATTTAAAAAGTGGGCAAAGGATTTGAATAGGTATTTCTTCAAGAAAGGTGTACAGAGGTCAAATAAGCATGTGAAAAGATGCTCAAGATCATTAATCATTCTTTTCCACCAGCAGATTCCAACTTCTCATCCTTCTCCTCTCCCCTTATTCACAGAGTAGTTTGTTCTCTATATAGTACCATTAGTAGGATTGTAGTTTATTATATTGTATATGGTTATAGCAGTAAATCTGCCGAGCTTGAGTGATGGGTGCTTCTCTTGGAGGGAGTTTGTGGTTAGGAATGTAGTTAGGGAACACAGAGAGAAATGCAAAGGTTGGAAAGTATAGGTCCTTTCTTCCTCCACAAAGCACTTAAAACTAGACAGAAAGAGCCAATGTTATGTGTAGAGTCCTTCTAAGTTAGGAGAGATTTCATGGTGACCTGTGGATCATAGCATTTTGCCTACTTGATACTTTTTGCTTAAAAAATAATATTAAGTCCTCCCTGGTGGCGCGAGGGGTTGAGCACAGCACTATGAAGCAATCCACAGCAATTGCAGCACAAGTTCGATCCCTGCTGGCCAGGGAGCTACCCACATGGCACAGCAGATGTCTCCTGTCTCACTGGCTGATCCCCTCAGGAATGTATTTCAGTCATTCTGCCTCTTCTGTTCCCCACTCTGGTGAATCATCTCACCCCCCCACACCTCTGGCCTGTACCCCAGTTCTTGTATGCATAAATAAATAAAATCTTTAAAAGTAATAATAATAATAATATTTATTGTAGCACTATTTACAATGGCCAAGATATGAAAACGACCTAAATGTCCCCCAAAAGATGAGTAGATTCAAAAGATGTGGTATACATACACACTGGAATGTTACTCAGCAATTAAAAAAGACAAACTCATGCCATTTATGGCAACATGGTTGGAACTGAAAGGGATTTTGCTAAGTGAAATAAGTCAGAAGGATAAAGATAAATATGAGATGGTTTTGCGTACATGTGGAATACAGAGAAACCAAACAAAGCATCAGGAAACACATCAAACTTGCAAACTGGCAGGAGGGGCGTGTATGGGAAAGGCATCAAAATGGGAGGGAAAAGCACAAGAAACTGTGGTGATGGGAGAATTGTAGCAACTACACCTGAGGGGAGAAGTCAAAATACTGTCCAAAAATTAACAACATAAGAAAATAAATATTTTTTATAAAAGATTTTAACAGTAAAAAATAATTTTGTACAATGAGCACAAAGATTTTTAAATGGGATTATATATGCACACACCAAAATTTGCCATTTTAACAACTTTATTTTTTATTTTTTATTTTTTTAAATAATAAATTTTATTTTTATATTCCCCATACAATTGCTACCCCCCCATTCTGACCCCAATCCCTCCCCTCCTGCCCCCCACCCGCCAAAAAGTGTCTCTGGTTCATAGTTTTTTGTTGATTTTGATTTTCACTTTCTTATAGTTATTCATTTTCCTGGTCCCTTATTTAAGTTTTCTAGATTCCTGCTATGAGTGAGACCATCCGGTATTTTTCTTTTTCTTTCTGGCTTATTTCGCTGAGCATGATCCCTTCCAGCACCATCCATGTTTTTAACAACTTTTAAATGTAAAGTTCTGTGGAATTAAGTACACTTTTATTGTGTGTAACCATCAATAACATCCATCTCCAGGGCTTTTTTGTCTTTCCAGCTGAAACACTGTATCCATTAGAAACTAACTCCCCATTTCTGCCTTCCCTTAGCTGTTGGCAACCCCTTTCTAATTTATGTCTGAATTTGAGTAGTCTAGGAATTTCATGTAACTAGACCCACACAATATCTGTCTTTTCCTGACTGGTTTATTTCACTTAGCATGTCTTCAAAGTTTGTCCATGTTCTAGCTCCTGCATTGCTGGTGGGAGTGCAAACTGGAAAGCTGTCTGGAGGTTCCTCAGTCTACTAAAAATGGAGCTGCCATACGACCCGGCTGTTCCACTACTGGGGATCTACCCAAAGGACACAAAAGCATTGATTCAAAAGAACACCTGTACACATATGTTTATTGCAGCACTATTTATAATAGGTTAAACCAGGTAACAACCCAAATGCCCAAAAATTGATGACTGGATCAAGAAGATGTGGTACATATACACCATGGAATATTACTCAGCAATTAAGAAAGATAAACTCATGCCATTCACAGCAAAGTGGATGGAGCTAGAAGGAATTATGCTCAGTGAAATAAGCCAGAAGGAAAAAGAAAAATGTCGGATGGTTTCACTTATAATGTTAGGGGGAAATGATGTCCTGAGCTAATCCCATGCAGGCTTTGTGGACCCCACCCCCACTCCAGACCAAAGCCATCAAGACATTGGGAAAGACAAATCCTGTCACCACCAAAGGGAGGGTGGCTGGGACCTGAGGGTGGAGTTAAGCAGCCAGGTTTGGTATAAAAACCAGACACTTGGGCCTTGGTCACTCGCTCGCTCTCTCGCCTCCTGGCTTGCGGCCAGCTCTCAGAGTGCCATTTGGGATTCCAGATCGGCAGATCGGGTAGGACGCATTTAAAACTTTGTCTCCCACTTTTCTCCCTGAGTTGAACATTTCTTCATTTGCCCTTCCCTTGTAAATAAACCTTTTATTAACCTTTTGTGTGTGCCTGCAATAGAGTATAAATAAGTCCCTTTAAGCGCTCTGGTGAGGACCCACAGTCAGGCACCCTGTTTTGTATCGGGACTGCCCTGTAACAATAACAGGAATATAGGGGAACCAAATAAGACATCATAGTAAAAAAAATAATAATAACAGTATAAAACACAACAAAGCAAAACAGACAATTATAAATCAGAGACATACTGCAGGGGAGGAGGAAGGAGAGGGATCAGAGAGAGGGAGGGAGAACAGGAGACTGTGGTGATGGTGCACAGGTGCCTTGGGGAAGGAAATTTTATGGGGACTCAACCTGAGGGGGTGGGGGGAAGCAAATATTGTTAAAAAAAATTAAAATTAAAAAAAGTAAATTAAAAAAATTAAAAATAAAAAAAACCACCACAAAAAGTTTGTCCATGTTCTAGCATATCAGAGTCTCCTTCCTTTTCAAGGATGAATAGCATTGCTTTGTAGTATATACTGCATTTCATTCATCCATTCACCTGTGAATAATGCTACTCTTAACGTGAGTATATAAGTATCTGTTCAATTCCCTCCTTATACTTTTGATTGTGTACCTAGAAGTGGAATCATTAGGTTATATGATAATTCCATGTTTAATTATACTTGACAAATTGTCATCCAGTTTTCCCACAGTGGCTATACCATTTTATATAAACTTCGAAGTTGTAACCAGATTCACCAATTGCTTTTATCTTTTCCTATTTGCTTTGTCAATTTTTTTCTTTCTCCAGCACCACACATACATACACATTTGCATGTATCACAGTTGTGTGTTTTTGAACTATCAGGAGAAAGTTGAAGACATTATGTCCCTTTCCACTAAAGGATGTTTTGTCATATAACCCTGGTCCAGTTATTAAAAGTGGGAAATATGGCATTGGCATATTACTCATACTGTATTTTCAATCAGAAAATAAGAATATAATTGGGATAGTCTATGATTTAAGGCTTTCTAGCTATATGCACCAAATCCTGAAATAGCTGTTAATTTGTGTTTATATATTTTTCAGGGAGAAGTTTGTTAGAACTCGGAGGAAACAATGCTATTATTGGTAAGTGCCCTTTGTTTTCTGTTCAAAATCTCTAGGAGCCATCCTGAATACAGAGAACTTGTTTAGGAAAGCATCCCTGCTATGTTGTATGTGTGTCTAAGATCTAATTCTCTTAATGGGAATTTTGCTTTTTTTTTTTTTTTAAAGATTTATTTATTTATTTATACAAGCACTGGGTACAGTCAGAAGTGTGGGAGGGTGAGAGAATTCACCAGAGCGGGGAACAGAACAGGCAGACTGACGAAATACACTGCTGAGGGGAGCGGCGGGCACGGCAGGAGAGGTCTGTCACGCCATGTGGGACCCTTGCCAGTGGCCAGGGATTGAACTGGCGCTGCAGAGGCTGTGGGCAGCTTTGCAGCCCAGCACTCAACCACTGCGCCACCAGAGGAGGCTCTGGGAATTTTGCTTTTAGGACAAAACACGGGGAAGGAAAGATGTTCATGTTTCAAACATGTTAGTGAGACTTAGAATCTGACTATGAAATGTCCTACTGTGGTGTTGTTTCTAGTTTTTCTTCTATTTTTTGAAAACTGGTTATGTGTGTCTCTAAACTAGATAATGCCTATGTGACTTGCTGATGCCTTTAGATTTCAAAAATACTGGGTTGTCTTCTGTGAAATATTGAGTGCTTTTGTATTGGGAAAGAACACTTCCTTAAGGCATTTTATTGTCACTTACCTGTTGGTTTGGAGATTACTTAATTTTCTTTTTCAATTATTTGCTGAAAAAAGAAATAGTCTACCAATCAATGTAACTCTAGAGGGACAAAAGCAGGTTGTAACATAATAGAAGCATGACTTTTGTTATTAAAAACCAAAAATTGCTATTTGTGAGTTGCCATAAATCGCATTTAAATGCCTCCATGTTTGTGGTGTACCCCAGAAGTTGAATAGGTATGTGGTGAAGGATTTGTTCTAGATGAATTTCTAATTTAGTTAAAGAGAAAGTTCATTTACAGTTGACCATTTAGCAACATGGTTTTGAGCTGAATGGGTCCCTGTGTTTATAGATTTTCTCATGAACAGATGACATAAACTTAAGGTAATGATAAGTACAGTATAGTAATGTATTTTCTCTTCCTTGTGATGTTAACATTTCTGTTCTCTGGCTTACCTTATTGTAAGAATGTAGTATATAAAACATAACAGGTAGAACATGTTATTGACTATGCTATTTCAACAGCAAACTATTAGTAATTTGGGGGGAGGTCAAAGGTTATGCTGGGACTTTAGACGGCACGGAGGTCAGCACCCCTGACTTCTGAGTTGTTCAAGGGTCATTTGTATAGGTTAACATTTAGTAGGTACTAGTAGGTACTAGTTATTTGCCAGGTACTTTGCCCAGCGAATACGCATTTTTTTATTTAATTCTCACAGTAATCCCATGAGGCAGCTACCATTATTAATCTCACTTGAGGGTTATACTCTGAGGCTTAAACCAATTATATACCTGAAGTGACAGCATAGCAGGTGACAGAACCTGCTTTTTTATTTTTTAAAGATTTATTTTTGTGCATACAAGAACTGGGGTATAGGCCAGAGGTGTGGCGATTGAGAGGATTCACCAGAGACAGAGTGGGGAATGGAGCAGGCAGATTTACTTAAATACACTGCTGAGGGGAGGAAGCATGAGAGACAGGAGAGGTCTACTGCTTCATGTGGGTTAGCTCCCTGGCCAGAGATTGTGCTGTCGTGGCTGGTGATAGCTTGATAGTGCTGAAACTTGAACCCCTGTGCCACCAGGGAGGCCCAGAACCGCCCAGAACCCAGAACATGGCCACGGACCCCAGAGCACAGCTTCTTTCCTCACTTCCTTATTATCACCCATTAGTATCCCAGACATTACCCACTTTATAGATGAGGAAACTGAGACTTACAAAGGTAAAAACATCACAGTTAAAAAGTAGTGGAGAGGCCTCCCTGGTGGCGCAGGCGGTTGAGCGCAGCACTGTGAAGCTGAGTGCAGCCTCTGCAGTGTGAGTTCGATCCCTTCTGGCCGTGGAGATACCCATATAGCGCAGCAGATCTCTCCTGTCTCACCCGCTGCTCCCCTCAGAAGTGTATTTTGGTCAGTCTGCCTGTTCTGGTTCCCGCTCTGTCTCTGGTGAATCCTCTCACCTTCCCACACATCTGGTCTGTACCCCGGTTCTTATATGCATGAATGAATAAATCTTTAAGAAAAAAAAAGTAGTGGAGATAGAAAAAAATCCCTGGTCTGCTTGGTTGCACGAACTACCTTTTCAGCTATTGCGCTAGTCTGAGAATGTTCTCAGGGATGGCTCTGAAGTTCTCTTATGGCAATTTTATACCAGATAGCAAAGTGCCTTGCTGTTCTCTTCACACACTGATGGGAGTGTGTTTGTGTTTCCCTCAGCTTTTGAGGATGCAGACCTCAGCTTAGTTGTTCCATCCACTCTTTTTGCTGCTGTGGGGACAGCTGGCCAGAGGTGTACCACGGCGAGGCGACTGGTGAGTGTGCTGTGTGGGCTCCCCTTTTTATTACATTGTACTGTTAGGGAGGCATCAAAGAAGTACTGCTACAAAAATGTATTTACTTTACTTGGTTGGTCAACATGTGGCCCTACTACCCTCACCTCTGCTCATGGCAAATGTTGCTAACCAACCACGGACTCTTCCTTACTCCCCACACCCAGTTAAAAGTGATTTCCCACATAGTTGATTGGAGATGAGACGTGTTTTCAATTCTATACCTAGAGCAATATGGATAAAGTTCATTGTCATTTAGGGAATAAAACAAGCAAAAATTTTGAAATTCATTAGCTAAATGACAGCCTTGACTTTTTAAAAAAAACATCTAAGTAGTAAAACATTAAAGATTTTAGTTTGGGGTCCTAGATTTGACTTGATGTGACATGGTTTATTGAAAAACAAATGACTTAATACATGTGTCTTCTCTATGTAGTTTGCCATCACACATGTGGTTTAGCTTCAGGATGTGGTTTCGGGGAATTTAATCTCTATGGTTAGATTGTTGTTCAGTCTTGAGTGGGGTACAGCCTTGATTTTCAAACTGTGTGTACAACAAACAAGTTTTGGGTAGGTAAAAGTTTGTCTATGTTTCCATTTCTTTATTGTTGTTGAATTTTCTTCCTGTAATTAAAAAAAAAAGCTTATAATTGCATCATAGAGAAATTGGTTTTGGGTTTTTACTCTCACCCACAGACAATATGAACAAATTTTAAAAAAAATTTTTTTATAAGGTTGGTGCAGTCTAAATTAGAATAAGATAGAGGAGATATGCAGATTAAGTTTTTCCCCATAATTTTTCATATTTACTTTTCCCTTTATTTTTACAATAAATAAACACCAAACTCTTTGTTTTTACATTATCCATTTGAAGTTCTTAAAAAAACTAAGATGATGTTCATCAAGTATTTACAATTTATTAAGTTTGTTCATCCAACACTTATTATATTAATCCTAAGAAGGAAATGGGTACACTAAAAGATTATAACCTTAAATAGTAAAATACGAAATTTCATAAAGGTATTTTTTATTCAAGTTTTTTTCCTTTGTGTCTTGGAGCAAATGTAAATGGTTATGGTTTACATATAGTGCTGAATATGTCAGATACTATTTGTTATTGCCCAAGTCATTGTCCATAATGGTAGTTTTTGATACATAGGGAAAAAAAAAAACCATTCTGACCAGGTATATTTACTGTGGCACTAGTTCTGTTAATGTCACTGCATTTGCCAGATGGAGATCAATCTAGAGAATGGATGATTTGACACAATCACCCCAACCACTGGGAACATAGCATGGAGCTCACATCTGGCCAGAGGGAGTCCAAGGGCCATCCTCACCTGATTAAGGCCTCACTCTGGAGACCTACTCAGCCTGAGGCTAAGTGCATATGGTTAAATAGCAGGGCTCTGCTGATCAAACCATAGTGGTCTGTGATGCATACATACAATTATAGTGTGGGACTGGGCTTTTGCATTTCTCTGCTAATTAACACATCAAATGCTCTAGAGCAGAAGAAGGCACGATTGATTTGTGAAGCTTGGCCGAACAGTTCCTTAGGAATTTGATAAAAGATGAGGCTTTTGATTTTTATTTTAGCATCTGGCTTGAATAAAGGGTTATCTTCCTATAGTTAATATTAAAATTAGAAATTATGTCATTTTAAAAAACTCATGGTTCTATTTGCTTATGTTTTCAGAGATCACAATATTTCAGAAACTTAAATATTAATTATTATCCTTCAGGGAAATAGTACATTTACTATATTCCTTTTTCACTTAGTTTTTACATGAAAGCATCCATGATGATGTTGTAAATAGACTTAAGAAGGCCTATGGTCAGATCCGTATCGGGGACCCGTGGGACCGTGAGTATCTCGTATTTTCAGAGGTGTTCCCTTTTTGGTAACTGATGTTTCAAGTGTTTCTACTCTTTGTTGTGTCTTGTTTCTGGATTTTTTTTTTTTTTGAGATTTATTTGTATTTATTTATGCATACAATAGCTGGGGTATAGGCCAGAGGTACAGGGTGGGGTGGATGAGCCGGGGGTGAGAGGATTCACCAGAGACAGAATGGGGAGCAGAACAGGCAGATCTACTGAAATACACTGCTGAGGGGAACAGAGGGTGAGACAGGAGAGGTCTGCTGTGCCATGTGGGTTAGCTCCCTGGCCGGGGATCAAACTCATGCTGCAGTGGCTGGTGATAGCTTGATAGTGCTTAGACTTAACCTTTTGCACCACCAGGGAGGCCCTTGTTTCTGTTTTTTTTTCCCCCATTCTTGATGGACCTGAGTGCACAGGAAATAGGTAATGGGGCATCTGATGAGACATGTCTGAAGTTAGGACCCAGAATGCTTGATGTGAGCTAACGGATGAGCCTGGGATATGGTGTTCAAATGAGGTGACTGATGAGGTTTTCACTTCTCACTGCTATTACCTGTGTCTAAACCACCATATCCTTTCTCATGGGAGATCACAGAGTCACCTAACTTGCTCCCTGCTTCTACTTCTACCTTCCACAGTAACCAGAGTTGATTTCCAAAAAAATGTTATTTGATGATTCAATCTCCTGCTTAAAACATTCCAGTAACTTCTTGTTGCTTTTAGATTAAATCCTAGATTCTTCCTGAGTTCCTGTTTACTAGCAGGCTCACAGTCTTTTCATCATCTGACCTCTGATTCCTCCTCTGCCACCCTCTGGCTTTCTGTTACCTGGGCCCTCTAGCTCCCTGAGCTCCAGCTGCCTCCCACATTCTTTCAATGTTGCAGGTATTCCAGGCTCCATCCTGCTAATCTCTGCTGTAAATGCTCTTCACCCACCTCTTCCCACCACCAGCTTTCCTGACGGAGACTTCTCTAAATCATCCTCCTTCTCTGTCCCCTGGGTCACCTTTAATGTTCTGGTTTCCCACAGCCATGCAAAGGTCAACAGCAGTTGAATTGCACACAGCTGCTGAGTCTGTGAAGTTCTTAGAGAATGATTGCCTTGTACTGAATAAATGCATCCTATGTTTTTAATGTATTGCTTGCAATGAATTGATAGCCATTCCTCTAAACCAGTCACAAACAGATTGGCCTGCCACCTGTTTCTGAAAAGAAATTTTGTGGAGACATGACCATACTCATTCACTGACATATTGTTGTGGCTTTTTTCACATTGCAATAGCAGAGACCAAATAAGTAATGCAAAGGAATACAAAGCCAAGTGTTTGCTCTCTTGCCCCTAACAGAAAAAGATTGCTAATCCTCTAACTGAGGATGTCAAATGGATTGGTCAATTCCTTGGGAAGTTGTTATAATAATAAAATAAGGCCATTTGGGGCAAAATGAAGAGCATTCCTTTTTCTCTCCAGCTAATGTTCTCTATGGGCCACTCCACACCAAACAAGCAGTGAACATGTTTCTTGGAGCAGTGGAAGCAGCAAAGACAGAAGGTGGCACAGTGGTTTTCGGTGGCAAGGTAATGAAAATGCTGAGCTCAGCATTGACAGGCCTTCTGCTTCTCTTAGGCACAAGCAGGGCTCTAGGCAAATTGGTGAAGGGTCTTCAATTGCCATTTTTCTTCCCCTCCCCCATCCCTGTGATCAAGGGGAAATACATATTTTGAAAATTTAGTATAAAATGCATGGAATATTTTTGGAGGGACACCCAAGAAGCTCAGCCCTGAGTGCCTTTGAATTGAGTCCTTAGGAATTAGTATCGAAGAGAGACCTTCCCATTGTGTAGTGGAAGACTTTGTAGTCAGGGCTATTAAGATACATATTTAAAGGCTATTTTAAAAGGTAAATAAAGATGGGGAATCAGAAAATTCTTTAGATTCTTTAGATGTAGGGCCAAGTCATTTCTTCATGGATGTAGGAATTCATTGGTATCCTTGCATAAGCTATATCCGTAATTTTATAGCTTTTTCTATAATTTAGTTTCAGTTTCTTTAAAATTCACTGAGAACTGGGGCCCTAGTAAAGCAATCAAAGAACAGAACCCTTCTGAGTATTAATGTCATTTCCATACCCACTTTTAATTTAAGAGATGTGTATGGATATTTGTGTATTTTTTTGTCATGTATGCACCAATGAGTTTTTTCTAGAGCATTTAACTTAATGTTTATATGAATAGCTTTTTTTGCTGTGTAATATTTATTAGGTTATATAATGCAGTAGTATGCCACTATGATAAACACAGCTGCTTTGCGCAAGATTAAGAGTGAACATGGTGGACTCTTGGTAAACAGACAGCTTGGGGGTTGAGAGTAGAATCATACAAGCACCCTGGGGAGTGGGCCTGATGTCCAAAGCAACTTTCTGTGCACATCAGAACGTTTTCCAGAAAGAAGTGAATGTTAAGTGGAGATGAACTAGTAATTTGATTTTTGTACAGTATACATTAGTCTGTTCCACTTGCCATAACACAATATCACAGAAAATTAATTTTCTCACTCCTGGCAATTGGAAGTCCAAGATGAAGGTGCTCACAGGGCGGGTTTCTGGGGAGGCCTCTTCCTGGCATTGTAGATGCCACCTATTGCTATGTCTTTATGTGGCCTTTTCTCCTGGTGTTTGGGGAGAGAGAAGGTGCCCATTGTCTGTTCAGATCTTTACCTGCTCCTCGTTTGGCAGATGAGGGCCCTATTCCTATGAGCATTTAGCTTTAATTACCTCCTTAAAGGCCCAAAGCCTTTAAATTCAATCACACCCTTCGGATTCAAGGCTTCAACACGAGTGCTTTATAAACACAACGTAGTCTATAGCACGGGGGTATAACTACCTGTTTTAAAGTTGTGTGAATTTAAAAATAGCCATGAATAACAGCGTGTTTTCAGTTTAACTTGATGGTGACAGAAAGCACTGCTTTTTCTCCTTGATTCTTCTTTTTATTGGTTTTTCTGTTTTAAATTAGAATCAATAGGAGGCAGAGAATATTTTCATTCATGATGTGAAGTTACTTTGGAGATGAATTAATTCATTTATAAATGTTTATTTTTTATAAGTGTACGGAACGATTATATCATCTGACCCTGACTGAGTAATAGAAACCAAAATGCTTTCATTTTCTTTCTTTCCTTCTACTATATTTTGATTTTTCTACTGTAGGCTATGAATCGCCCTGGAAATTATGTAGAACCAACAATTGTGACAGGTCTTCCTCACAATGCGTCCATTGCACACACAGAGACTTTTGCTCCGATTCTCTATGTCTTTAAATTCAAGGTAATAATGGATTCTGATCTTCTTTCTCTAGTTTATTGACATAATAAATGAAAAGATTAAGAGAAAATGAAAAATATATTAAATTTCACTTGATTAGCCTTTGGGGAGGTTTTAGAAAGTCACTCTGATCAGCAGAAAATTGAAGGCTAAGGATAAATAGGATGAGAGGAACACTTTACACCATAGAGCATGTCAAGCTAGCTGCCAGGGAAACTACAATGAACAGAGGACCCATTCTGGAATTAAGGGGCAGTGTAACCCTCATGTCCTATTTCTGAGCTTCTGCACAAAGGGAAGCAGATAGCTTGATACCTGAGTGCTATCAGCAGGCAGAATGAGAATATATGGGCTAATTTAAAAATCTATAGTATCAGCCTGTGTCAGAGGATAAAGATAACTCAGGGAGTTCTGGTTCTCCTTCCCTAGCATGAGACAGGTTCTAACCTTACCAGCAAATGTTTAGAAAGTAAAGTAAGTTTTGAATGTACCGTGATTCATATTTAAAGAAAACTGAGAATTGCACTTCTTAGCAATTAATTGTATGATTTTTTTTTTAAATCTTGCTTCAAATTGTCTTTGTTTCACACATGTTGACTCAATAGTATAATTTCATTTTTTGCAGTAGGTGTGTCTATATGTGAGACTATGAACTCTGGAGCAAATTATTTAGTCTCTGGGAGTCTGTTGTCTAATCTGTAAACTGGGGATAATATAAAACTCGTGCCATTAAATAAGTGGTTAGATCTATGTCTTGTACATAAGAGTTCAATAAATATCAGCTATTACATGTAGTAGCTTGAATGGAAGAATGTGCTAACCTTTGTTTCTCAACGTACAGTTAGAGGGGAAAGCCCCACAAAGCATTACATAAAAGAACAGAATTAGGAAGATGTTGATTCTTTTGATTCCTTTGTGTGCTAAAGTTATACCAGTACACGAATTGAATTTAATTAACTTCAGTAAACTTTGACCTGAAAACTGGACCATCTAACAGCTTCTTACTCTCTCCTTTTAGAATGAGGAAGAGGTCTTTGCCTGGAATAATGAAGTCAAGCAGGGACTTTCAAGTAGTATCTTTACAAAGGATTTGGGAAGAATCTTCCGCTGGCTTGGGTATAACTGTTTATTTTGAAAACTTACCTACGTCTGATTTGTGTGGTGAATGGACTTTACAAAAAGAAAATGAAATCATCATAGCTGAAAATCTTTTTTCCGCATTGAATGTCTTAAAAGGCTTTGTGTTGACTTTTTATTTTATTTTATTTTTTTTAAATTTCCTATGTGTTGCTCTCACCATTGCATTCCTTTTTCACATACAGACCTAAAGGATCAGACTGTGGCATTGTAAATGTCAACATTCCAACAAGTGGGGCTGAAATTGGAGGTGCTTTTGGTATGTAGAGAATTCTTTTTCACCGTGGTGGGCAGTGTATTACTCTGTTAGGGCTGCATAGCAAAATACCATAGACTGGGGGCTTCAACAAGACATTTCTGGAGCCTGGAAGCCTGAGATCATGATGTTGGCAGGTTTGGATTTTCCTGCAGGTTTGGATTTTCTCTTCCTCTTTCTGAGTCTTCCCGTGGTCTTTTCTCTGGACACGCACATTCCTGGTTTCTCTTCCTCTTCTTGTAGCACATCAGTCCTATTGACTTAGTACCTCGCCCCCATGACTTCATTTAACCATAATTACCATGCATCCATCCAAATTCAGTCACGTTCTCAGACATTGGAGGTCAGAGCTCCAATATAATTTTAGGAGGGAACACAATTCAGTCCATAAGAAGTAGCAGAAGAAAAGCAGTAGTAGATTTTAGAAAAGTTTGACCAAGAAACTGAAAAATAATGTTTTTTGGCCCAACATGCTTGAGAAAACTTAGGGTTCTGTATTCAGAGTTACTGTCCAAGGTTGTCTCTGTTATTTTTATATACAGTTTCACTTTCGAGGAGGGGATCTTAAAATGAAATATGTGAACCCCTGAAATGGTACATTGGTTTTCTGGGGAGAGGATCCAAGACTAAAGAGGGTTAAGAACCTTTTCTCTAAAGGCAGGAGATACTCATTTTTTTTTTTTTTTTTTTTTTTATTTTATTTTTATTTTTTTTTTTTATAAATTTTATTGTTATATTCCCCATACAATTGCAGCCCCCCCATTCTGACCCCAATCCCTCCCCTCCCGCCCCCGCCCCCCTAAAAGTGTCTCTGGTTCATAGTTTTTTGTTGATTTTGATTTTCACTTTCTTATATTCATTTTCCTGGTCCCTTATTTAAGTTTTCTAGATTCCTGCTATGAGTGAGACCATCCGGTATTTTTCTTTTTCTTTTTGGCTTATTTCGCTGAGCATGATCCCTTCCAGTGCCATCCATGTTGCTGCAAATTGCATGTGTTTATCTTTTTTGAATGCTGAGTAATATTCCATGGTATATATGGACCACATCTTCTTGATCCAGTCATCTATTTTTGGGCATTTGGGTTGTTTCCAAAGCTTAGCTATTGTAAACAGTGCTGCTATAAACATAGGGGTGCAGGTGCTCTTTGGAATTGATGTTTCTGTGTCCTTTGGGTAAATACCTAGGAGTGGAATTGCTGGATCATATGGAAGCTCTATGTTTAGTAGGTCCAGAAATCTCCACACAGCTCTCCACAGTGGTTGGACCAGTTTGCACTCCCACCAACAGTGCAGAAGAGTTCCTTTTTCTCCACACCCTCGCCAGCATTTGTTGTTGCTAGTTTTTTTAATATGTGCCATTCTCACTGGTGTAAGATGGTATCTCATGGTAGTTTTGATTTGCATTTCCCTGATGGCAAGTGATGTTGAACATTTTTTCATATGCCTGTTGGCCATTTGCATTTCCTCTTCAGAGAAGTTTCTTTTTAGCTCTTCTGCCATTTTTTGACTGGATTATTTTCTTTGTTGTTGCTGAGTCTCATCAGCTCTTTGCAGATTTTTGTGATCAGTCCTTTATCATTAGTGTTGGGTGCAAAAATGTTCTCCCAGTTGGTGGGGTTTCTCTTTGTTTTTGTTATTGTCTCTTTTGCTGTGCAGAAGCTCTTTAATTTGATGTAGTCCCAGCTGTTTATCTTTGCCTTCACTATCACTGCTTTGGGTGATGTGTCTGTAAAGATGTCTTTGATGTGCAGATCACGTAGTGTTTCGCCTATATTTCCTTCTATATATTTTATGGTTTCAGGTCTTATGTCTAGTTCTTTAATCCATTTTGAGTTGATTTTTGTGTATGGTGTGAGGTAGTGGTCAAGCTTCATTCTTTTGCATGTAGCGACCCAGTTTTCCCAGCACCATTTATTGAACAAACTTTCTTTGCTCCAATGCATAGTCTTTGCTCCTTTGTCAAAGATTAGTTGACCATAAATCTGTGGATTTATTCTGGATTTTCTATTCTATTCCATTGGTCTGTATGTCTGTTCTTGTTCCAATACCAAGCAGTTTTGATGATTATGGCTTTGTAGTATAGCTTGAAGTCTGGGAGTGTAATGCCTCCATTCCCTTCTTTTTTTTTCAGGAGAGCTTTGGCTATTCGGGGTTTTTTGTGATTCCATAAGAATTTCATCAATAATTGTTCTATTTCTTTGAAGAATGACATTGAAATTTTGATTGGAATAGCATTGAATCTGTATATTGCTTTTGGAAGGATGGCCATTTTAATAATGTTTATTCTTCCAATCCACGAGCAGGGGATGTCTCTCCATTTCTTTGTGTCTTCTTCTATTTCTTTTAACAGTGTTTTATAGTTTTCTTTGTATAGGTCCTTTATCTCTTTTGTTAGATTTATTCCCAAATATTTGATTTTTTTTGTTTCAATAACAAAAGGGATGGTTTTTTTGATTTCTTCTTCTTCAGATTTATTGTTTGTGTATAGGAAGGCTACTGACTTTTGCGTGTTGATTTTGTATCCTGCCACTTTACTGAACTGATTGATGAGTTGAATTAGCTTTTCTGTGGAGTTTTTGGGGTTCTCTATGTATAATATCATATCGTCTGCAAATAGTGATAGTTTGACTTCTTCTTTTCCTATTTGGATTCCTTGGATGTCTTTCTCTTGTCTTATTGCCCTGGCTAGGACTTCCAGTATTATATTGAAAAGCAGTGGTGAGAGTGGACATCCTTGTCTTGTTCCAGATCTTAATGGAATTGCTTTCAGCTTTTCACCATTGAGAATGATGCTGGCTGTTGGCTTGTCATAGATGGCCTTTATGATGTTGAGGTATGTTCCTTGTATCCCAAGAATTTCAAGGGATTTTATCATGAATGGGTGTTGCACTTTGTCGAAAGCTTTCTCAGCATCTATTGATATTATCATATGGTTTTTATATTTCTTTTTGTTGATGTGTTGAATAACGTTGATTGATTTTCGGATGTTAAACCATCCTTGTGCCCCTGGAATGAATCCTACTTGGTCGTGGTGAATTATCTTATGGATACATTGTTGGATTCTGATGGCTAAAATTTTATTGAGGATTTTTGCATCAGTGTTCATTAGGGAGATTGGCCTGTAGTTTTCCTTTTTAGTGTTGTCCTTGTTCGGTTTTGGTATTAGTGTAATGTTGGCTTCATAGAACGTGTTTGGTATTGTCCCTTCCTTCTCAATTTTTTGGAAGAGTTTGTGAAGGATAGGCACTAATTCGTCTCTGAATGTTTGGTAGAATTCATTTGTAAATCCATCAGGTCCTGGGCTTTTGTTTTTGGGGAGGTTTTTGATTACCATTTCAATTTCGCTAATTGTAATTGGTCTGTTTAGGTGTTCTATTTCTTCTTTATCTAGCTTTGGGTGATTGTAGAGTTGTAGGAATTTGTCCATCTCCTCTACATTATTAAACTTATTTCCATATAACTGTTCATAGTAGTTACTGATTATTCTTTTGATTTCTGCTGTGTCCGTTGTGATTTCTCCTCTTTCATTGATGATCCTGTTTATTTGTGCTTTCTCCCTTTTTTCCTTTGTGAGCCTGGCTAGGGGTTTGTCTATTTTATTGATTTTTTCAAAGAACCAGCTCTTGGTTTCATTGATCTTTTGGATTGTTTTTTTAGTTTCAATTTCATTTATTTCTGCTTTGGTTTTTATTATTTCTTTTCTTCTACTGGTTTTGGGGTTTTTTTGTTGCTCTTTTTCTAGATCTTTGAGCTTCGAGATTAGGTTGTTTCTTTGAGTTCTTTCTTGTTTCTTGATGTGAGCTTCTATTGCTATATATTTTCCTCTTATTACTGCTTTTGCTGCATCCCATACATTTAGGATATTGGTGTCTTCCTTGTCGTTCAATTCAAAAAATTTTTTAATTTCTTCTTTGATCTCCTCATTAGTCCAGTGGTCTTCCAGTAGTGTGGTTTTTAATCTCCATGAGGTAGGAAAGTTCCTTGCCTTCTTTTTATGGTTTAGTTCTAGTTTGATGCCTTCATGGTCAGAAAAGATGGTTGGTATGATTTCAATCTTGGTGTATCTGTTGATGTTTGTCTTGTGCCCCAGTATGTGATCGATCCTGGAGAATGATCCGTGTGCGCTTGAGAAAAATGTGTACTCCGTTTTTCTGGGGTTTAGTGTTCTATAGATGTCTGTTAAGCCCAATTGCTCTAGGTCCTTATTTAGAGCTTTGGTTTCTTTACTTATTTTTTGTCTTGTTGATCTATCCATTGTTGATAGTGGTGTGTTGAAGTCTCCCACTACGTATGTGTTTTCTCTGATGTCTGTTTTCAGAGAAGACAACAGTTGTCTGATATATTTTGGTGCTCCTTCGTTTGGTGAGTATATGTTAATGAGTGTTATTTCTTCTTGAAGTATTGTCCCCTTGATCATAATGTAGTGACCATTGGGGTCTCTTTTTATCTTTTTGAGTTTGAAATCTGTTTTATCTGATATAAGTATAGCTGTTCCTGCTTTCTTTTTTGGCCCATTTGCTTGTAGGATTGTTTTCCATCCTTTGACTTTGAGCCTATTTTTATCTTTTGTAGCTAAATGTGTTTCCTGGAGACAGCAAAAGGTTGGGTTTTGTTTCTTAATCCAGGCTGCAACTCTGTGTCTTTTTATTGAAGAGTTTAGTCCATTTACATTTAGAGTTAATATTGATATGTTAACATCTGTATTTGCCATTGTGTTTGTCTTTCCTTTGATTTTATTTATTTATTCTTTTAATAACTTTTTTTTTTTGGCCTTCTTTCATTGTTATTCGTCCCTCTGAGGTTCTGGCTTTAGGACTCCTTGTAGTATTTTTTGGAGTGGGGGTTTAGTTGCAATGAAATTCCGGAGTTTCTGTTTGTCTGGGAAGGTCCATATTCTTTCTTCAAAGAGGAAGGAGAGCTTTGCGGGATAGAGTATTCTTGGTTGGCATCTGTTTTCTTGGAGTCTGTTGACTATGTCCCTCCACTCTCTCCTTGCCCGTAGTGTTTCTTCGGAGAAGTCTGATGTCAGCCTGATTGGCTTTCCTTTGAATGTTATCTGTTTCTTCCCTCTTGCCAGCTTCATTATTTTTTCCTTGTCCTGGATTCTTGGGAGCTTTACTATTATGTGTCTTGCTGTATTTTTTCTTTCGTCGTGGAAGTTTGGTGTTCTTCTTGCTTCTTGTATATCAATTTTCAGCTCCTTCTTCACATTTGGGAAGTTCTCTTCAATTATCTCTTTGAATATTTTCTCTGTTCCTACTTCTCTCTCCTCTCCTTCTGGTATTCCTATAACTCTTATATTTCCTTTCCTCATGGAGTCAGATAGTTCCCGAAGTCTTTCTTCATTCTTTTTCCTTCGTACTTCTCTTTCCTTTTCTGTTTTGGTTCTTTTTATTTCTGTGTCTTCAAGAGCACTTATTCGTTCTTCCATTTCATCAATTCTGCTTTCATTGCTTTTCCCAGAATTCTTTAGTTCTTCCACTAATTCTTTGATCTCCTGCATTTCTTTTACTTCCCTCTTTAGGGACTCAATTTCATTCTTCTGATCGTTGATTATTTTTCCCTTATCATTGTTTTCCTTTATGACTTCTGTCAGTTTTTTAATCACGGCAATTTTAAATTCTCTTTCTGGAAGGCTCAGAAGTTCTTCCAAGTTACTGTCGTTGCCATCTGGGGGCTGGTTTTCTTTTTGTGGTGTGCTTTTTCTCTGGAGAGTTGCTAGGTTGCGTGTGGTTCTTCTCCTCCCTACTGTCTGTTTTCTAATTTGCCGTATGCGTTGGGACACTGTGTTGTTGGGACTGGCCGGCATCTTGGGTGGGCTTCTCTTCTCCCCTCTGGTTCCTCCTGGAGTCATCTGTCAGTTTCAAGCAGTCTTTATTGGAGAAAGGTCCCTGTCCTAAAATGTCAATGTGGGGACACACTCCCCTGTGCGCCTGGTCTGCCCCGGTGGTGGGTTCCTGCTCCCCCTCTGGGCTTGGACTGCAGGCCAGAGGGGGTCTGGCGTGGGCGAACTTCCCCCGCTCACCTCTGGCTCCTGAGGAAGCCTTCTGCAGGTAGTCTTTACTGAAGAAATGTCCCTGTTCTAAAATGGTGATGTGGGACACACTCCCTGCGTGTCCGGTGTCAGGCACACTCTTCTGCGTGCCTGGTCTGCCCTGGCTGTGGGTGCTCGCTCTCCCTGTGGGCTCAGACTACTTGTTCGGAAGGGGCCCGGTGTGGGCTAACTCCCCAGCTGGCCACTAGCTCCTTCAGGAGCCTGTGCTGTCTACAAGTCGCTAGGTGGCGCCAAAGATCTCTCCTAGAGCCCTTCTTGGGGAGCTGATTTTCCACGCCGTGGGACAGGGAGCAGAGCGGGGATGGTAGGGTACACCTCAACGGCTTTGGGGTGCTGTGTCTGCCTTGTGCCCCACCGTCGTGGGGAACCCACGCCCCTAATTTCGTGCCCCGGGTCTCAGTTCCAAAGCCCTCAGTTCCAGGACGCGGGCTGTAGCCCAGTTCAGTGGCGCGGGAAGGGCGCCTTTTGCACTGCTCCCGTGCCTGGGCGCCTGGTTCCTGCTCACTCAGGGAGGGACCTTCACCTCAGTGAGGACCTCCGCGCCTCCCCGCAAGCCTAGGTCGTCTCCCAAGCCTAGGTCGCAGGCGCGGGGACCTGGGCAGCCGCGATCCTGGTCTGCACTTGCTTTTCAAGCGCGCCGAGCGCGCCGCTATCCGCGCAAGCTTACCGGCAGCCCGGGCTGTGTGCGCGTCTCCCGGGGTCTTTGTTCTTCTCTAATGGCGCCAGGAGCCGTTCGCTCACCGCCGCGGCGAATCCTGCAGGGTTCTCCACAGCTCCCGTTCACGGGGTGTGATGGCTGAAATAGTTCCTTTCCACTCACAGTCCCGCTTACTGCGTCCGTTTTTCTTGTTGGCCGTTTTGGTTTGTTGTTTCCTCCTCTCTGCGGGTCGGAGAGTGCCGCCTCTGTGGGCGGGGGAGGGGAGCAGGGTTCTGCGCTTCCCTCCCTTCTGGTCCTCTTTTATGGCAACTTTCTTCTTTGGGCAGTTTGCTGGAGTCACCCGTTTATCTTCCGTGTCCCAGTTCTCACTGGGACCTGCCGCTTTTCCTCCCTATTCACTTTTTTTAATGGGAGATCTTACTCGCAGCGTCTCCTCGCCGCCATGTTGCTCCGCCCCTCATCCAGGAGATACTCATTTTTATTTGCAAAGTGGACATAATAAATACCTGTTAGATAATGTGCTAAGTTTCCTTTTAATGGGCCCTGCTTCTGTTTTCTCTTAATAAACTTTGCATTCTTAATGCATAAACTTAGTAATAGTTAAAAAGCAATTCTTCCTAACAATCAGTATTTAGTATTTCACTTATTAAAAATGATGCAACAGGGCCTCCCTGTTGGTGCAGTGGGTTGAACGCAGCGCTGTGAAGCTGTCTGCAGTTTACACGGTGCTGGTTCGATTCCCGGCCAGACAGGAGAGTCCCACATGGCGCAGCAGACCTCTCCTGCCTCACCCACTGCTCCCCTCAGCAGGTCCTTCTGCATGTTCTGCTCCCTGCTCTGTCTCTGGTAGATTCTCTTACCCTCCCACACCTCTGGCCTGTACCCCAGTGCTTGTATAAATAAATAAATCTTTTTTTAAAAAAAAGATCCAACTTATAATAAAAACAGACTGCTACACACATGTACCCCAAATGTGCATTAACACCTGTGAAAGTTTAAATAATTAGTGCATTTTTTTAGCGCAAATAATACAATTACAATGGACTTTCCTTCATTTCTGCCTTCACAGTTAGTTTTAAACATAAGTATAATAAGTCTTACAATGGAAACGGCAGAGCTACCCACATTTTCCTCTTCCTCCTTATTTGCTATAGTTAACTGCTTTGAGAGTCTTACCAAAAGAAGAAGTAAATTTGTCTTTGAATTTACTCTATTTTTCTAAGGAGTGTGCTTTACCTGTTTTCTCTTTCAGTTGTAATGAATTAACCCTCTTAAATCCTCCCTGTCTTCCACGATTTATAATAAGACATTGTCTTGTGGGGTAAGATCCAGAGGATACCAGGTATAAACTTCTAAGGATCTTTTCCCAGGGAGTCTCAGAAAAGGTGCTTAATTCTTCTAGCAATAGGTTGTGACATCTGTGAAATGTTGTGTATATTTCTCTAGGTGGAGAAAAGCATACTGGTGGTGGCAGGGAGTCTGGCAGTGATTCCTGGAAACAGTACATGAGAAGATCTACTTGGTAAGAAAACGCTTTGAGTTTGGGCTTAAAATTGTTGAAAGCACTTCTCCACTCTTCACTTTCTTCTGTTGTGTATAATGTTTTACAGCAGTCCCCTCCCAGAGCATCAGTTTTAAGCTATTATTTCTCTACCTTCCTTGTCTAACTTCAGTTAGTGCCCAGGGCCCAGCTGTGAACCATCTTGTTGGTGGCTATCTAAGGGCTGGCATAGGAACAGCATACTCAGGGGTCAGCCAGCGGGAGAAGGTAGAAGCGACTATCCTTTTAGTTTTTTCCTCAGATGCAGTTGCCACCCTTGCAGACTGTAGAAGGCAATAGAAAATGGAGGGAGGGGGATGGTAGGCAGGGGTCTGTGGGCTGGCTGGCAAACTGGGGGATACCAGCTCAGAATAGTGAGCATGTCCCTTGGATGTGTGTTAGCTCATTGCACAAGCACACGGGTAGTTGGTGAGAAAACCTGCTTCCAAGAGATTTGGACTAGAAGTTGTTTCTTTTGCTTGTAATTTGTTCTTTCCTTTTGGGGGGAAAGTTTTCACACAAGTGCAGTGAAATAGAGAATGTGGGGTCAGACCCACGTAGTGTTATATTGTAACAAGAACATGGAATAAGGAACCCAAGACACACCCTGGTCTCTTTCACTGCTTCCTACTACCTCTTTAACCTTGGATGAGTTTCTCAACCTTGGTTCCTGAGAATCTCAGCAATTTACATCTGTGAAGAATTTCTGAGATTTTTTGGCTGTGGCTTATTGAATCTCAAAAATGTATCCATTCTCTGCCCGGTTCCTGGACTTTGAAGTCATTTTTTGTTCCTGGTATATTTTTTGTGCACTTGAGATTTAGAGTAGCAAAAATGTGTAGCTATGGCCTTTCTGGAACCATTTAAAGGGGATGATTTTTTTTCTCAGGAGAAAAGCCATGTGACTAGTTAATAAGGGCACTTTTGTTTTTTAAATTATTATGGTTTCTATCAAAATGGGAATACCTGTTTTCCTGCTAATTCAATACCAGTTGGTGGGCAATAATTAAGAAGTAAAGTTATTGTCTTTATTTTTGTGACTTGAAAACTATGTATAAAATGTATGATACAACTTTCCAGATTTCCCTATTTCTCTCTTCTCTCCCTTGTTTTTTCTTATATAAAATTGAATCTATACTAACATTGTTTTGTATCCTAATTTTTTTTTCCTTCAATTTTTTACTTGGGCACGTCATCTTGTTAATATATACAGGTCTTCTATACTTTTATAATGGTATAAAAATATTCTGTGTTATTATATATGTACTACCCTTTATTAAATTTTGTTCATTTTTCCTCCCTTAGTACCATCAACTACAGTAAAGACCTTCCCCTGGCTCAAGGAATAAAGTTTCAGTAAAGGTGCCTTAAATTGACTTTCTTGTTAGGTATTCTTGCCCCTCTTTCTTCTGAAGAACACAAACTTAATATTTGCCCTGAATAAATTCATCTTTGTGACTGTAACAGTGATTAATTCTTTATATCCTGGAGACTTACTAAATAAAACTTTCCTTTTTTTAAAATAAAAATAAAATTGTCTTTGTATAGCAATATTTGATAAAATATAGATTGGGTAGATTTTGTTACCAGTAGTACTTAATTTTTAAGAAAAGTTTGATTATTTTACAACTTAGAGGAAAATACTACATGCCATGTATATGCTGTGAACTTGGAAAAAAATAAGAAGAAAATAGAAGCCTTCTTAGTAGGTACAGGAATATCTTCTGAACAAGTCAGGAATGCTGTGATTACTGATTCACATTGCCCTCCTCAAGCAGGAATGGAAAGGGCGTGACTGAAAGGGACTTGCATCTTTTCTATGTAGAGGACCATAGCACATTATCCATGACTTGCTCTGTTTAAAGTGATTGAGCGACTTCATCATTGTGGGAACTTCTCCTGCTCATGATGGCATGTATCACTGTAGAAGGGATTGGTGGGGTAGTGTAGATTTCGCCCCTGCCCTGGACCCTGCACCTGCTGAAGATTTTGCTCATGCAGAATACTGAAAATGTATCTGGATTTGTTATGCAACCTGCAGCCTTTTTTTTTTTTTTTTTTTAAAGATATGCTTTTGCAGTTGCCCTGGGATTTTTTTCTCAGAGAATAGCCACAGTGTGTGTGGCAGCTTGTTTTCACAGTAAACTTTATCTTTATTGAGAGTCTTCCTCCTCTGACAAGCTGCCCAGGAGACTTGCAGGTGGTTCAGCCCAGGGCCTCTGTCACGCTAATAGTTTCTTGCAGTACTCCTGTTGTTCTGGCAGTCTGCACTCCCCTCCTGGGAGCAACCACCAGACCCTACTCCAGTTTGTTTGGACCCAGACAGAAGCCTTTGAAGATGATGGTATTTGCAGACAACATGAGGAATCAGGATGTATGGAGAGATTTGGACAACTGGCAGAGCTTGAGATTTATTTGTGACACTGAGAGGCAAGCAAATGAACAAAACGAGGCAATAATAAATTTTTCAGGAGAGGAATGGTATGCTCCTGTCAACCTTACTAATCAAGCCAAATGCCTATAATAAATGTATGTTGGCAGAAAGAAGTCAGGGGTGATGGTAGGTGAAAGGTGAACAGTTCTTCATGTGATGTAGTGGAGAATCAATAATGCCTAATCTTACAAAAGCAAGGAATAGCAACATAGGTTTATGAAAACAGGGAGGTAAATTCCAAAAGAATCATTACCTCAGAGGAGGGCAAATGGGGAGTTGAAGCCTGGAATATAGGAGAGATTGCAGTTTTTCATGATTAATTTTGTAGAATTATTTGGCTTTTTAAATTAAGAGATTGTATAATTTTGATAAATATTGAAACCAAAAAAGAAGAAAATGATGTTGGAGAATCAGGTATTTTGGGCCCTATATTTCCAGACTCTCCTCCACCCCCCCTCCCAGCACACATACATGCACACTTGTATGCTACTCAGTATTGAACTAGGGACACCTCAGTAACTCCTAGGTTGATTCTAGGAGGAGAGTCAAATTTTCCTCTCTTTTCAAAGTTCAAATAGACCACATTATGCTTTCTTGTTTATGTGTGTGTATATTGGGGATTGGGGGCTGCTTAAGACAATCTTATAGTTTGGGCATTAACTTTAATAATATTGACAGGGTTTTTCCTTTTGGGTTATGATGTAATGTATTCTAGCCCTTTTTTGGTAAGTGACTGTAATACTGTCTGAAGAAAGTAAAGTACTATTTCAAACATTTTCAGGAATTGTAATAGGCAGTTTTCATTTTATAAAATTGCACAGGGTTATTTTTGAGAAAAATAACTTTCTTATGTCCTGTGTTTCTCCAAAATTTTAAATTAATGTTCCCAAATAGAAGCTGGATCATTTACATCTATAATTTCTCTCCAATTTGGCATTTAAGAGACTCCATTCTTCCATATCTGCTGGAGACACTGGCAGAGTGATAGTGATTTGGAATAATAATCTCTAGTACACTGGGTAGGTGGGTAACTGGGATCTTTCATTTTAGGTATAAAATTTGAATAAAATTGATTCTGAACAGATCTTCCTTCAAAACAAATCAGCTTTCTCAGTGGACTTTCTGTGTCATCATGTTCATTAAAAATTTTTTTGCTTTGAAAGTGGTCTTCTTTGGTCTAATATACTGACTTAACAAATAAAAGTTACTGATTAGTCTTTTCACCCAAGTTTAAAATGTGCATTTGTATGTGGTTCCTGGCCAACCGTGTTAGGGTCTGAGGCCCTGCACTGCAGTTTGCTGGTTGCACTGAGTCCCTCGTGACTGCCCTGCCTCCCTTTGTGCATCCCCCGTTGCCTGTACTCCAGCCCCTGACCTCCATTGTGACAGTGAGTATCTGGTTGGTGTACTAACTTCTGCCTCTGCAGTGAACCCTAGCTCTTTGTTTTTTTTTTTTAAAGATTTATTTATTTATTTATACAAGCACTGGGTACAGTCAGAAGCGTGGGAGGGTGAGAGAATTCACCAGAGCCAGAGCGGGGAACAGAAAAGGCAGACTGACGAAATACATTGCTGAGGGGAGCAGCGGGTGTGGCAAGAGAGGTCTGCACGCCATGTGGGACTCTCGCCGGTGGCCCGGGATTGAACCGGCCCTGCAGAGGCTGCGGGCAGCTTCACAGCCCAGCACTCAACCGCTGCACCACCGGGGAGGCCCAACCCTAGCTTTTTGAAGGATCTTGCTGAACTCCAGGCCCTAGAGAGAAAACACAGTCAGGTGAACCCGGGATCCTGGTGGTTTCATAAAAAGGAGGTGATGTCTTTGGAGGCAGGTGCTCCTGATAAAGATACCACACAGTGGAGATACGAAAGTTTTCTGGAAGGATATCAGGTTCTATTTATAGTTTTTCCAATTTGAATTTAGAAGAGTTATGAATATTTCCCTTGTTTTAAAATTTTATGTATTTTTATATTCAAATGGGCAGGTTTATTAGAAAAGAAGAAAAGGAAAGGATGCTTGCACAGATATAAGTGGACAGAAAGAGCTGCCTCTGAAAGGGACAGGTTTGCTAAAAGGCCTGCATAGACACAGGTGGGCAGTCTTGGGAGAAGAGCCGCCTCTACTGCTTTGCAAAGGGAAAAGGTTAGTGAAAATAAACACCTGTAGAGTCACAGGTGGGCAGGAAGCTGCTATTTTTTTATTTTAAAATTTACCCTTTTTAAAAAAGATTTATTTATGCATACAAGGGCAGGGTTATAAGCCAGAGGTTCGAGGGTGTGTGTGTGTGTGTGTGTGAGAGGATTCACCCAGAGACAAAGTGGGGAGCAGAGCAGGTAGATCTGAAATACATTGAGGGGAACAGCGGGCGCGCAAGAGAAATCTGCTGTACCATGTGGGTTGCTCCCTGGGCAGCCAGGGATTGAATTTGCAGTGACTGGTGATAGCTTACAGCGCTGTCTTTAACCCTTTGCCACCAGGGATGCCCATTTTAAAGTTTACTTTTGCAAATATTTCACATGGTTAAAAATTCAAATGGGACTCTAATGCATATAAATACAGCTCACTCCTGCCCACTCTCCCCCACTACTTCTTCCCCTCACCTTTTCTACGTTATCTTATTGACCTCCATATTTCTAAAGAGTTTAAGATTCTGCTATTTTTTTCAATTCATCATTTTAGTTATTATCTGTTGACTTTTTTTCTTTTTAGGTCAGGTGTGTCCTAGGCAATATTTGTTTTTGTTTTTTTTTTAATTTAATTTTCTTTATTTGCAGTTTTTATAGTTCTGGGATTTATTTTGGGCTAGGGTATAAGAAATGGATATAACTTACTTTTAAAAATTATGGCTACCCAATTCTACTTGGTAATTGAGTACTACTGAGGAATTGTCTTTTTTTTAAATAAATTTTATTTTTATATTCCCCATACAATTACAATCCCCTTATTTTGACCCCAATCCCTCCCCTCCCCGCCCCCCACTCCCCCCATAGAGTGTCTCTGGTTCATAGTTTTTTGTTGATTTTGATTATCACTTTCTTATAGTTATTCATTTTCCTGGTCCCTTATTTAAGTTTTCTAGATTCCTGCTATGAATGAGACCATCCGGTATTTTTCTTTTTCTTTTTGGCTTATTTTGCTGAGCATGATCCCTTCCAGCGCCATCCATGTTGCTGCAAATTGCATATGTTTATCTTTTTTGAATGCTGAATAATATTCCATGGTGTATATGTACCACATCTTCTTGATCCCGTCATCTATTTTTGGGCATTTGGGTTGTTTCCAAAGCTTAGCTATTGTAAATAGTGCTGCTATAAACAGGGGTGCAGGTGCTCTTTGGAATTGATGTTTCTGTGTCCTTTGGGTAAATACCTAGGAGTGGAATTGCTGGATCATATGGAAGCTCTGTTTAGTAGGTCAAGAAATCTCCACACAGCTCTCCATAGTGGTTGGACCATTTTGCACTCCCACCAACAGTGCAGGAGAGTTCCTTTTTCTCCACATCCTCGCCATATCTGTTGACTTCTTGATGTTGTAGGTGAAGATTAACTTTCTTATCACTTCCCCAAACAAATCTCTTATCTCTATACCTCTCATCTATTAATATCACAGCTTTTGACTAAATTTATGATCATCATTTAATTATGACTGTGCAAAGACAGGGGCCAAATTGCCCTTTAAAATCACATCTACTTATCTATCTTTTATTTTTCCTGGAGTTAATAATTGCCATCATGTTGCTTAATTTGATCAACTTTTTTCCTCCCTCTTTTCTCTTGTAAATGCAATGTAAGAGTCACCATCCCAAACATTTTAAAGTGTGCTTTCAGTGGCATTCAGTACATTTACAAAGTCGTATATTTGTTACCATATAGATGCATAACATTTTTATCATCCCAAAAGGAAACCCCATACCTGTTAAACAGTCATCTCTATTTTTTTCCCTATCCCTAGGCCACCACCAATCTGCTTTTTGTCTATACATTGCATATTCTGGATATTTCATACAAATAGAATATCTGTTACTATTTTTCACATTCCTGAATTTTCCCTGTCACATGCTTATTAATACTTCCCAGTTTCCCAGGAATCAGAGT